TGATCTTTACGATAATATTTTGAGGGTATGAATAAATAAATTAACTGTCATAAAGTTAAAAAGTTGTTTCAAAATACTAGTCCAAGACAAACTTATATGTAAAAAACTTTGCAAAAAAAAAGCACGGTTTAGGGGCTTCGGAAGCGTACACGTGATAATCTACAAGTTGTAAGAGAAAAGAACAAGGTATTCATTACCTTTTTTGTAGCAGGCTTTGCATTACCTAAGAGGCTAAGATTTTCATTCATGTAGTAATGATCTAGACTGCTGGTCGAAATCACTTATTTGTTCTTGCACTTGTAATAAGATAATGGATGTATTAATCTATTAGAGTGAATATATTCAAACCTTGCATTAAGACTACAACACAATCATCTCTTAATGACACTCTTTATTTTGTGTTTTAGAGATCCTTCTTAGAACCACCAGTGGCCCATGTTGAAGAGACACAAAAGGGGTGTCTGGACAATAGATGAATGAATGGTTAATATTTTCTATATAGTTTCCAAACCTATTTTCCAAACATGCTGGGCTAAAAGACCAAGAGTGAAAAAAAAAGTATTGGTGTAACTTGATAAACAAGCACTTGGTTATGACCCTTGAAAGGATCATCATACTACTAAGCATATATCATTGTAATATATCATCCATAATTCTTTATATAGATAACATATTTTCTTTTTAACATGGTCATCACAAAATGAAACTTCGATCAAGAGATGCCACAATATACCTGAGCTCCTAGTTTTGGTTTCACCAAATACATATCTCATGACATTTCCATCCAATTTATATACAAACTAATAAACTAAAGCACATATTGTGATGTAAAAATTAACAGTGAAAAATAAGTCATAATACACAAAAATATCTCGAGGAGTAGCTCATCCAGCTGCTGTGGGAGCATGAAATCAAAATTGAAAATATACTTATTTCTATGCCATTATATAACGGTTTCGAAAATATTTGAAAAATTAAAACTGAGTCACCTATAAGATTGACGACACCGTTTGTCTTGCAGACTTTGTTCGTGGATCATAAGTCGTTTGGCAAGACTATAAGTATCATTGAACTATATGCCACTTTTAGATGTGGCAATTAACTATTTGCCACTGGACCCACATGTCATAGACACATGTGGACCCACATGTCATTCAGACTATAAGTATCATCCGGTGGATTGGTAACACTCACATCTTTTAACCGAGCAATCAGGTACATTTTTGAAACCAATGTATTCCTACGATATCACCAAAAAATAATATATTTTTAAAAATAATCCTAAAAAGAAGGTGCTTCTAGTACCACAGGCCATATCGCATCCAATCGAGGTGTAGCGCGTGGGCCGCTGCACGCAGTAGCAAACCCAAAACAAAAATTACCGGGGTTCCGATATATACTAATTACCTAATATTGTTGACTAATATATTAATTAGCATAGAATAGATTAGCTACAATTGAAAATTTACCCGGTATCCTGTGACCCTGATAAGCAGTACATAGGTACGCCACTGATAACCATATTCTATTCCTTGTCAGGCTAGTTCTTTTGGTTTCTGAAGGCTGAATTCTGATTTGTGCTTTGTGATGTACTCACTCCATGCCATAAAAACCAACATAATACTGAATGTAACACATACTATAGTATTATGAATCCGGACATACCTTTTTTCAGATTCATTATACTAGGATATGTCACATCCAGTTTTAGATTAGTTTTTTTCAAGACGAATGGAGTACTGGTGTGTACTACCTCTTCCAAATGTATAATACTGGTTAGTTCATTTTTTTCTAACCATCTTTAAAAAATATAGAGAGAGTGTGTACCAAATTCGTGAAAACTACTCTCTGGCTCTATCTCAGTACTGCTATGCTCCCGTGGAATTAATTGATTAACTAACATAGTATATATTATAAATTCAGTAGCTGATAAATTCTTTATTTTCTAAAAAAAACTTTTTATAAAAAAATCCGTGTGAATTCCTTCTTCGCGTTCTCAGCGTGAGTTGTTTTACGGATTTGCCCCTGGCAGCCGACGGCGCAGGTTTGGTACGATACGAACCATCTGGAAGAGGCCTTTTGTGGCCTGATAGCGAGAGATCCGAACCGTTCGTCCGCGATTCAACGGTCAGGATTGAAGCTGACGCACGTCAGCGTCCAATACGACTACCCGTTAATCCCCCCCAAATCCTTTTCGTTCTCATACTTATTACCCTTGAGGGAAACCCTAACCTTAAACCTAGCTGATTAAGGCGGCGGCGGCGGCGACGGCGACGGTGGCCGGCCATATGCGCGAATGCCGAAGCCGACTCCCTCCTCCTCCTCCTTCCTCGACTTCACCGGCGGCGTCGACGGCGATGACGACGACCCGTCGTGCCCCTTCGAGGGGCTGTGCTGCCCCGACGACCCGCTCGACCAGGTCCTCAACTTCGACTCCTCCGATTTCGGCCATGTCTTCTTCGAATCGCTCGACGTCGAGTTGTTCCTGCCGCGTGGTGGGCCCTCACGCGGCGCCGGCGAGGAGGATAGCAAGGGCGCGGTGGAGCGCGTCGCGTTTGGCTCCAGCGCCGCGGTGGAGAGCGAGCTCGGCGGCGTTGGCGGCGGCGGCGCGGGTAGCGAGGTGAGCGTGCCTGGTGGCGCCGGCGGCGGCCGCGGCGAGGACATGGAAACCGAGGCGCTCGACGTGAAGCCCGTGGTTGGGGTTGGAGCCGGCGGCGCCATGGGCGCGCACGTCGCCGGCGGCGTGGGCGCGCCCGGCGCTTTCCCCGAAAGCAAGCAGCTGGTGCCCTGGCCGTGCGCGGTTGGCGCCGGCGCGAGCGCGCCGGGCGCTGCCCCGGACAACCGTCTGCTCGCGTTGCCGGATGTCCGCTTTGACGCGCTGACCGCGGAAGGCGCGGCTCCCGGCGGCGAACGCGGGAAGACCATACCTGACTCAGTCTCCAAGAACGGACTCCCGACATTGCCGGGTGTCCGTTCCGCCACGCCCACCGCGCCGCCGGCCACACCCTTCCGGTTGGAGTGGGATCACGCGGCGGCGCCGTCGAGCAGCGCGACCACGACACCCTCGGACTCCAGCCTCTCCTCGCCGCCGTCCTTGTCATCCGTGTTCCCGAGGATCGCCCGGGTGTTCCCATCCCGGACCAAGCCCAGGAGGCGGCGCACCCTACGCAGGCAGCACTGGTCGTTGATCTGCCCGCTCCACCTCGTGCCAGTCGCCGCCGCCGCCGACGCCGCGCGCGGCAAGAGCATCAGCGAGCTCAACGCCTCCGCCTCCGCCGCCACCGACGCCGGCACCCCTTCCATCAACGACGGCGGCGGCGGTAGCTACCACCGGCGCGTGGTGGGGCGCCAGCGCAACCGGCAGGTGAGGAAGGACAGGAGGTGCAGCCACTGCGGCACCTCGGAGACGCCGCAATGGCGGATGGGCCCGGACGGCCCCGGCACGCTCTGCAACGCGTGCGGCATCAGGAGCAAGATGGACAGGCTGCTGCCGGAGTACCGGCCGTCGACGAGCCCCAGCTTCAACGGCGACGAGCACTCCAACCGCCACAGGAAGGTGTTGAAGCTCAGGGAGAAGAAGGGGCGCGACTAGCTCGCCGGCCGATCGAGGCGTCGGCGGCGGCGGCGAACGCCGGTGAACTCCGGCATGCATCCGTGTATATTTGTAGAATATATCTAGATCATAGCCATGGCATGGCATTGATGCCAATATCTCGATAATTTTAAGTGTAGGCCACTGGCCACCAGATATATTTTTTTGGTTTCTGGACTTAGCTTTAGAGTTTAGAGGTGATCAGGTGATCAGGTCAGTTCATGGATGAATTCTTTTCTTGTGTGTTCTTGGATTGTTCAATTGATTTATTCATTAGCTTCACAGATTATTGAAGGGATCATATATATAGAAGTGGAGTGGCAGTGTAATACAAGTTAAATTATTGGGCCACAAAATGTTTGGATTGCCACAAGTTTGGTTATACTGGAACAATATATCTATCAAATTTCCTCTTGGAATATGAGTGAATTCGGTTCGTTCTGTTTCTTTTAACTCTTCTTTTTCACAGAGGAGTGGTGTTACCTTACCTCTGAGCCGAAATGGATCATTAAGTAGAAAGGTAAGTCTAGCCAAGAATTGTTTTACATTTGCCATATAGACTTTGCATATGTTTCTTTTTGAAAACGTTTTAGCCCCTGGAATGAAATTATAATCCCCAAGCAGAGTCATAGTTTTTTCATGTAATTCACTGACCTCTCTTGTTTAAAACAAATAAAAGGTGACCACATTAGTATATATTTTTTTGAAAATACTAATTGATTTATTCGAAATTGGGTTTTCATTAGAATTGAGAAATCATTGTGCAACTGAAAATGTTCTCACAAGAACAATGTCACCAGTAGTCACAAAAATGGGGTTTATTTGTACACATATCTACCGATAGATCTTTGAAACATTTTGAATTCCTTGCAAACCTAACTACAATAAGTGTTTGGCGCGAAAATACTAGTATCTTCATATGCATTCATGCGGCGTGGAAAGGGAGGGACAAATCCGCCTATACACATCTTGGCAATTTTGAAAGGTGTACGATAGACGGCTAGACGCTCTTCATAATGCGGTTTTAAGAGGGTTTTCCCCCTCTTTTTTAAGGGTAAAGCCATTTATTGCTCGTTCTTCACCTCTTCCGTCTTTGAGTACGTATTAGAGGCACACTCTCATGTAGTATAAGTGTGTCTACTTGTGCTTCTTCTATAGATTGAAAAAAAAATGAAGAAGCAACGGTGCACCATAATTACATCAAATTTTCATTGGATTCGATTACGAGTTCAAAAAGGCAAAAAAAAAATCTATTTATAGGACAGGTATGAACTGAACCACATTTGAAATTTTGAACATTTTCGATGGAGATAATCAAACACCCAAACTTATTACCGTTCACAATTTTCGTCTTCCTTTTGATTTGAAAATATGCATGTTTTTGAATCGATCTCGACGGACACGGGAAGAAACCGTTACAACCTTACAAAACATCCAACTAAAATTAGCAAACATGAGAGCAAGGGTCTCTGTCCCCGGAACTCGCTGCCGTGCCAGACGATTTTTGCCACCTCCATGCAAGAACACCCAAGAACCATGACCCGCGAGCACGACGGCGACGGCGAGGAGGTGGCCACCGCCGTCCATGGTGATGCCGGCGCCGAGGAAGACGGAGACCGGAACGTCGTCGACAAGTCGGAGTTCTCCGACGCGGTGCATGTCGTCGTCGATCGCGATGACGAGGAGCCCGAGTTCCCCTCCGACGACGACGAGGGAGGTGACGACGACGTGCGCGTCTCCTTCGCCACCGCCGTCGGCGACAGCGACGAGCACCTCCGCGAGGAGCAGGGCGAGCTGGACCTTGACGACGACGATGAGGAGGACGTGTCGAGGTACGAGTACGACTATGGCATGTGGATGGAGGCCGAGCCGATGTCCATCCAGGAGCGCCGCCGCCGGCTGCTCCAGGGGATGGGGCTCGCCAGCAGCCGGGACCTCCTCCGCAGCCGCAGCGCGAGGATGAGGCCGATTCTTCCGCCCAACATCCCGCGCTGCGCGTCGAGGCGCCAGCCGCCGCCGCAGTGTCCCGCCGCCGCCGCCGACGACGCGCCGAGCACCTCGACGGCGGCGACGGTGAAACGGCAGCGGAACGCCGTCCTGACGCGGTGCCGGTCCGACAGCCGCCTCGCCGTCCGCGGCGGCGGCGCGGCGAGGAAGCCGCCGACGTTCCGGCGCGTGTACTCGGTGCCGCACTCGCTGCACGGCTCGCCGGTGCACAAGGCTCTCCGCGCGGCCGCTCGGAGTCGCAGCCCGCTGCCATTGCCGGCCCCCAAGGACGAGAGAGAAAACACCGTCAGGAAACTCGACGACGGCAAGGAGTTCGTGGTGAGCGGCCAGCCGGCGGCGGGCGGCTCGCGCGGCGCGCTCAGCGACCTCAAGACCGGCGTGCAGCTGAGCTTGGACGAGTTCGAGCGGTTCATCGGCTACACGCCGTTCGTGAAGCAGCTGATGCGCCGCAGCCAGAGCCAGCCGGTGGCAGCCGGGGCGGCGAACGGCGACGCGAAGCCGGGGAAGAAGAAACCCCGGTGGCTCAAGAACATCAAGCTCGTCGCCTCGGCCGCCGGCCTCATCCAAGAGAAGTACAAGGAAAGCAATTGCGGCGGAGGCGGCTGCGGTAGGTCGTCGTCGTCGTCGTCGTCATCGGCGGAGCAAGCGCACCAGCCCGGGGTGACCATGTCCAAGTCGGCGTCCACCAACGCCGCCACCATGGCGTCGTCGTCGTCGTCGTTGGAGCGGCCCAAGGTGCACAGCTTCGGCAAGACGGCGAGGGAGCTGACGGGGATGTACTTCCGGCAGGAGGTGCGCGCGCACGAGGGGTCGATCTGGAGCATCAAGTTCAGCCCCGACGGCCGCTTCCTCGCCAGCGGCGGCGAGGACCGCGTCGTGCACGTGTGGCACGTCGTGGACGACGGCGCCCCGCCGTCGTCCATGTCGCCGGAGCTGCTCTCGTCCTCCCAGAGCCTCCCGCCTCTGGCGCCTCACGGCGACGGCGGGCTGGCGGCGCAGCTGTCCAGGAAGCTCCGCGCGCGGCGGTGGAAGACCTGCAAGGACGTGCTCCCGGAGCACGTCGTCGTGCCGGAGACCGCGTTCGCGCTCGCCGACGAGCCGGCGTGCTCCCTCGAGGGCCACCTCGACGACGTGCTCGACCTCGCCTGGTCCATGTACTCCCAGGTAGTAACAATCTCCCCGCACTCCGTTCTTCATTATTGTCCACTGAATCGTGTGTCCGCCATTGTCGATGTCATCGCGAGCTGCAGCTGCTGCTGTCGTCGTCGATGGACAAGACGGTGCGGCTCTGGGACACGGAGGCGAAGGCGTGCCTCAAGCTGTTCCCGCACAACGACTACGGTGAGCTAGCGCTCGCCGTGCTCGCGTCGCGTCGTGCGCCGGCAATGGCGATGATGATGATGAGCTTGATCTGATCGTGCTGTGCGCTGTGGTGGCAGTGACATGCGTCCAGTTCAACCCGGTGGACGACGGCTACTTCATCAGCGGCTCGCTGGACAGCAAGGTGCGCATCTGGAGCGTCGCCGAGCGGCAGGTCGTCGACTGGAGCGACCTCGACGACATGGTCACCGCCGCATGCTACACCCCGGACGGCCAGGTACAAACACCGATCATGTATTCATGTCATGTCAAATTCGATTAGCCCCGTCCGCCATTGATGCTTGCTTGATGATCGTGTTGCAAAGGCCGCCATTGTTGGGTCACACAAGGGGAGCTGCCGATTCTACAAGACAGCAGATTGCAAGCTCAACCAGGAGGCTCAGATCGACATGAACATATCCAAGAAACGCAAGTCGCACGCGAAGAAGATCACCGGATTCCAGGTACTCGCTTAGCTCTGCTGCTTTCTCCTCGCGATCGAAGAATTCATGGAGCAAAAATTGTGGTTGTATGCAGTTTGCGCCGGGGAACCCGTCGGAGATCCTGGTGACGACGGCGGACTCGCAGATCAGGGTGTTCAACGGCATCACCGTGCTGCAGAAGTTCAAAGGTACGGCAATGGCGGCACGCGCCACGCCGCGCCCGCGTCGCGTCGCGTCGCGTCGCCGTGTGTCAAAAGCTCGCCGTTGCACACCGCGCAAACCTCACCGCCCAAAGGGAAATTGTGTTTCTTCCTGCCTGCAGGGTTCAAGAACACCAGCAGCCAGATCTCGGCGTCGTACTCCGGCGACGGCCGCTACGTCGTGTGCTCCAGCGAGGACTCCAACGTCTACGTGTGGCGGCGCGCCACGTCGCCGGGCGGCGCCGCGGGGGGCGGCGTCGCCGTCAAGGCCAAGACGTGGCGCACCAGCCGCGCCTACGAGTGCTTCTTCTGCAAGGACGTGTCGGCCGCCGTGCCGTGGCCGCTGTCACCGTGCCTACCACCGACGCGCGGCGGCGGCGGCGGCGGCGACGACGACGAGCGCGCCTCGTCGAGCGTGCGCGGCGCCGTCGTCGGTGGGGACGCGTCGGCGTCGCGGAGCCCAGCGCGACAACTGGGCAGCTTGCCTCTCCGGCCCAAGTCCGGGCCGATGACCTACTCCGGCGAGAAGCAGCTGGGCGTGCCCAGGGAGCCGTCGTCGCGGTGGCACGGCGGCGCGGAGGGCGGCAACGCGTGGGGGATGGTGGTGGTGACGGCGAGCCTCGCCGGCGAGATCAGGGTGTACCAAAACTTCGGCATGCCCCTCAGTTTGTTCAGAAAAACGTAAATTGATTTCAAAATATTCATATTTTGTTGCATGCGATGAAATCAACTCTCAAGAGTTTGGTTGTAAAATGTAAAGATTTTGCAGCAAAAGAAATTAAAGTCTTCTAGATTTTGTTTTTGGCTGGGTTCGTTTTTCTTGTGTTATTTTTCATGTTTTCTTGGTTTTTTGGGTGGTGTAGAAAGAGTTTCCCTTTTTCCCCCCCATTTGGGAGGAGCAAATTGTACATGTTGATTGCTACAAGCAGAAATGAAGAATATAATGTAGGACATGTTTGTATGTACTCCCATGTTTCATATTATAAGTGGTTTGAGTTTTTTCCTAGGCAAACTTTGTTAAGTTAAAACAAGAAACATATTACTTATCAAATTAGTTTCATTAAATCTAGAATTGAATATATTTTGATAATATGTTTCTTTTGTATTGCAAATACTACTATACTTTTCTATAAACTTTGCCAAACTTACAAAAATTTAACTAGAAAAAAGTCAAACGGTTTATAATATGAGAAGGCACACAGTTTATGAGCAAAGTTTTCAACACTGATTTTTTTTCTCTATGTTCAAGACGGTGTTTAGATTTGTACTACCTTTTTAAGAATAAGATTGTGTGTGTGTGTGTGTGTGTGTGTTTGTACAAGAATAAGGCTGTTCTTTTTTAAAAAAAGATTTGGGCCATTTGGCAAAGACGAAGAAGTTAAAACAAGAAAAGGAGACTAACTGGATTTGAGGAATGATCCATGAGCCCAGTTCAAAGGTCCTGAATGTTATATGAGTTTCTGATAATATTTAAGAGCAAACGAACGAATAAAATACTATAATGTTGAAAATTTTATCTAAAAGATATTCTAAGAAACTAATAATATGTATTTTTTTAAAAAAAACAATACTTACATATAGTTCATGAGCTTGAGAAATGTGTCCATGATAATCGATGATCAGTAGGAGTTTTGGACGGGGCTGAATTCGTGATACATGGGCTGATGAGGGTGGCTTTGCATACTCAGCTGAACAAATTTGGGCTGTTGAATGTGCTTAAAGAGGGTCCTTTCAACCACAGAGATTCAGATGGGCTCATCTTGCCTTTCTCCTCTTGTTGGCTTCACTTCAACTACTATGCCCATAATTCAATTTCTCAAAATAATCCATGTTTAAATCGAACTTTCGTATCTTTTGGTAGGCTGCCACATACTTTTCATCTTTGTCATCAGTTTCTTGCCATCTTTCTGTTAAACAACTTCACTCCAAATAGCTCAAGAAAATCCAATGCTCAATCTTGTGGGCGTGAGTGTGGTGTGTGTCCGTGAGCGCATCCGACTTGTACCCGCTAAACAATAATTAAAAAAAAAGAAAGAAAAACCAGTGCTAACTTTACAAGCCGATTACTGATCTGAAGTCTGAACTGTGAACTGCCAAATGCGTTGTTTAAACTATAATGAAGGAATTCTTTGCATGTAGGAGGAGATGATGATGGTCACATTCAGAAAATATTGGAGGAGATGATGGTTACAGAAACAAGGTTGAACTGGGGCAGTTGTTGACTTAGTGATTTTTTTTTCAGATAAGGAAGATGGTTACAATAGTCTACACCTTAAATAAGGTCATTAAGATTTTGACAGGGAACAGATCTTGTCAGGAGCAGTGCATACTTCTGAAGCTGATGACTTGATGCATGGTTGTCAACCCAAAAAATGTATTTAAACTTGTCCATATGATGGTAATCCCTTTTGACTATTTGCTTATGATGTCAATCTGAAATCTGAACCTGCAATCGAATTCTTTCCTTCTTGTCAACCGGCATATCAGAACCAGATTAGCACCACTTGTCAGATCAAGCATATATATCAAATGATCTGTTGAGTTTTCAATTTGCAGTCAACCATGACTACCGAATTGGTTTCTGTGCCAACAAAATTGGAAAGGTTGAATAATCCCCTAAGATAACACTGTTCTTATCTTCTGAAATTTTATTTGGCTGCATGGAGCATGCACATCGTTTTAATTGAACATAGTCGTTTTCCTGTATAATGTTTGTCTAATTCGGAAGTCAAAAATGAAAGTTCAGTTCATGCTTGGATGTTTCTTTAAGAGCATACAGTATATAATTTAACCATATCGGAGAGTCGGAGTAATCTCTGTATTTGGTGCAGGCTCTGACTGTATCACTATATATGGTTATGAGTACTAATTCGTTATATCTGCAAAGAGAAATAGATGGAAAATTCAGTAGTTGGATGATTGGTTCCATATATTTGGAGTTCTAAGTAGTCCATGGTCAAGCTTGTCAAGTTATGAAAGGAAAGTTGGAGAACAATGTAGAGCTAGAACAATATCTTGGGTTTTCAATGACTATATTATAATGTTCAGGTTCCTGAATTTTGGTAGGATTAGGCACAAAAGTCTCAACCTCTGAAAAAAATATAGAACACTCTGGTCTAGGAGACAGCATCTTTCTCCAGGACCATTCTCATGTCCCACAATCCTAACCTTGATGGCATGATTCATAATTTTGTATGTACTTGTATTCCTAATAGAGCTATGATATGAATTCATAGCCCAATAGTCCTCTTTTAGTTCATACTGATAAAATAACAGCATGGTCTTTCAGAAAAAAGAAAACCTGACACAAGAGAGTCCAAACAATATGAACATAGCCTCAAAATAATTAAACAGTAATTGAGGGGATACTGTACACTCTTGCATTTTTTGTAGTCATCAATCAATTATATAGTTGCCATGGGTACTTCAGCTGCTTACTGCCGAAAGAACTCAAACACAGAGCGCTTATAATTTCCTGAATATACACATCAATGCTCAAAGAACTCAATATGGGTACTTCAGCTGCTTACTTCTGAAAGAACTCAAAACAGAACGCTTATAATTTCCTGAATATACACATCAACTGCTGAAATAACTCAATATGCTATATCCAGTTTCATCCTTTTTTTTTGGCAATGGAATCCATCCCGGCCTTCACAATTTCAGGCTACCAATACAATGATCATTTGTCCACTTACTCATCTATTATTAATTACCTCAAGGTAGCCATCATGTAGGTTGATTAACTAGCTATTCTCTCAAGAGAGAGAAAAAAAAGAGAGCATATCCTTTTCTTGGATCATAAAACAAATCAGGTGTACAAATTGTAGGGATTACTAACATGTAACATGGGCATTGGATCGATCATGGAGAGGTTTGTTGTTACGCATCTTTGCCGGCCTTGACATAAACCACGAGATTAGGTATCTTTGTCTCAGAGTTACCGAGTGACTAGAAAAGCAGAAAGGAATATGATATATGGAATTATGGATTCAGATTAAGCTTAGGTGACAGTGCAACAACACGCTTGCCATCATGTCAAGTTAAAATCCGGCATTTTTTTTATGAACATACCAGCGTGGAGTATGGCCGACCAGTTGTGCCCCAACAGGTAAGGCACCTAGTTTATCCCAGTGAAAATGGAATATTCAAGTCGTAAATGCTACTCCTCCCTCCGTTTTATATTATAAGTTATTTAATTTTTTTATAGTCAACTTTGTTAAGTTTGATCAAAGTTATAAAAAATTTTAATAACATCTAAAATATCAAATTAGCTTCATTAAATCTAACATTGAATATATATTGATAATATGTTTGCTTTGTGTTAAAATACTAATATATTTTTTTATAGACTTAGTCAAACTTGAAGAAATTTGACTAGTACGACTTATAATATGAAAGGATGGACTAGTTATCATTATGAACATTATATTTGTTCTTTTCTAAAAAATATCAAGTATTGCTATCTTTATAAAATATTTTCATAAAATTGATTCAAACCTGGCTATGCACAGCCAAATCTTTTCAAACACACCTAGATATTATATATAAGAAAATCGTATGTATATATTGTCTTGAAAATTATTTTCACAATTATTTTAAGTTTGTTTGCTTTTCTAAACTCTGGAAACAAGTAGTTCAGCGAATTTCCCATAGAGAAAGGCCCATGGATGACAGGATGAGGTATGAAGGCAACAAATCAAATGAGATAAGAACCTACAGAGAATGAAAAAAACAAATGCATGGATGAATGTTTATAAAATTTGAGACAGACATGGAGAGGATTGTTGGGCACTATCATGGGCGTGACGTGCCTGGCAGTTGCCAGCTACTCCCTCCGTCCCAAAAAAAAAGACTGATTTCCGTGCTCGATGTTTGACCGTCCGTCTTATTTGAAAAAAATATGAAAAAAATTAAAAAGACAAGTCACGCATAAAATATTAATCATGTTTTATCATCTAACAACAACGAAAATACAAATTGTAAAAAAATTTCATATAAGACGGATGGTCAAAGTTGGACACGGAAATCCAGGGTTTGTCTTTTTTTGGGACGGAGGGAGTACTCGTGTTTGGATGAACTTGGTCAGGAGTCAACAATGAGAATAGAAAAGTTCCAATGATCTGTGCAAGGATGAGAGGATCAGAGTAAACAAAAATTCTCTGGTACTCGTCTACATCATCCAGTGCGTACATACCACCAATTACAAGATACAGTGTGATTTTACAGTTTTCTTAAATAGACATAAAAAAATACCACATTTTCTAATATAAAGTTTGGCACTTCCTTAAGCATCATAAGATGTCTCTTAGTGATTCTACATTGGTAAGATGGGCCAAAGACAGTGAAACTAAACAGTTTAAGCAATATGAACAAAATTCCGGCCTTTATATCCTACATGGATGTACACAACCAATGTCATAATATTTTACTGAGCAGAATTCCAAACATTTTCCCGCAAAAATGGCGCGACTGGATATCCGGGCTGCTGTCCACTTCCACCTCAAAGATCACCCTGAATGGAATCCCGGGCGAAACAATCAGACACGGGAAGGGTTTGCGGCAGGGTGACACCCTATCCCCCCTCCTCTTCATCTTGGCTATAGACCCCCTCCAGCGCCTGTTAGACAAGGCTACCGACATAGGAGTTCTAAGTAAGCTGCGAGGCAGAGCTGTGCGCTTCCGCACATCTATGTACGCGGATGATGCGGCCGTCTTCATTAATCCGACCAAAGAGGACGTGAGCGCCTTCGCCGATCTGCTAAATCGTTTTGGGAAGGTATCAGGATTATGCACGAACCTGCAAAAATCGCAAGTGGCGCCGGTCAGATGTGATAATCTGGACCTCGACGACATCCTGCATGACACGCCTGCAACTAGGGCAAGCTTCCCGATGAAGTATCTGGGGTTGCCTCTGTCCACTGGCCATCTGCGCAAAGTAGACCTTCAACCTCTCTACGACAAATCGATGAGTAGAGTAGCAAGCTGGCGAGGAAGACATATTGGCCTGGCAGGGCGATCAACGCTGGTTAAATCGGTGCTCACTTCACAACCTGTTTTTCTTCTGACGGGCCTGAAAGCTTCAAATGAGTCCCTAGAGGTCATCGACAAGCAGAGAAGGAAATTCCTATGGGCAGGCGGTGAAGCTCTGACGGGGGGCAAGTGCAAAATAAATTGGACACGGACCTGCCTCCCTACAGCCTCAGGAGGATTGGGCATCCTGAACCTGGAGGAATTTGCAAGAGCTTTACGACTGCGGTGGCTTTGGAACGAGTGGAGATCACCGGAAAAAGCATGGGTGGGGTCGGGAACACCCTGTGACGACACGGATAGGTTACTTTTTGCAGCAGCAACAACCATAACTATAGGGGATGGAGCGAAAACAAGCTTTTGGGATTCAGCTTGGCTGGAAGGGAGAAGACTAAAGGATGTAGCTCCCCTGATCTACGTGGCCTCCAAGAAAAAGAACAGCACGCTACAACAGGCCTCAGCCACAGACCAGTGGCTGCTCGATCTGGACCTTCCTCCAGCCTCAGGCTGGACAATGGAGCTGGTCAGCCAGCTAATCAATGTCTGGAGTGCGGTGCACAACGTACATTTCACAGAGAATGAGGAGGACAAGATAGTGTGGAAGCTCACTAGCCACGGTGAATATACGGCGACGTCGGCCTACAAAGCGCAGCTCCTAGGTACTACTGCCACCAACTTCAACATCCTAATATGGAAGCCTTGGGCACCGCGCAAGTGCAAGACCTTTGCCTGGTTGATCATCCAAAATAGAGTTTGGACCTCCGACAGACTGACAACCAGAGGTTGGCAGAACAACTCTTTCTGCCCCTTATGCAGACACACCCAAGAAACTGCTCTCCACCTCCTCGCAGAATGCAAATACACCAGGAAAATTTGGGCGGCGTTATCTGATTGGACTGGGTGTGGTTAACTGAACCCCGGACAATGGCAACCAGCTCAATCGGTGTTAGAGTGGTGGGAGGCCACCGCCAACTTGAAGGAAGTCCCAAAGAAAGCACTCCGCACGTTAACACTTCTGGTCAACTGGGAAATCTGGAACGAGAGAAATCGTAGAATTTTCCAGCACAAAGAGCTTTCTACAGGAAGTCTGTTGGCCAAAATTAAAGAGGAGGCCAAAACATGGTCTCGGGCGGGGGCGAGGCATCTTGGTAGCTGGCTTGTTTTTTATTTTTAGCTCAGTAGGACCGAAGGTCCTGGGCCTGGTTTTTCTTACTTGTAAAGTTTACTCCTTCTCTATTCAATGAAATTGGCAGCTTGCCGATTCGTTCAAAAAAAAAATTCCAAACATAAATTTTACATTACCATATTGTGAAATTCAACATGTCATTAGTTTCTTCCCACTGCTCTGTGCAAATAATACAACACTCCAATATGTTGGCAGGCTTGGTTTGTTACCCAAAGTTGGGTTGAATCCCATGTCCTTATTAAAATAATTATGGCAGGCCTAATTAGATAATGGGATTTTATTCTTTATACCAATTTCACAAATCATGCATCGAAGAGTAAAGACAGTGCTAGGCATATCATTTTTTTCAACCTCATATTTCAGTTCCACTTATTAAAATAATCATTCTAACAAATGGGAGGGAAAATAAATAATTAGCAGCCTGTAAAGCACAATATGCTAAATTGAGGTAGTCAACTTGTTCAAGTGGGGGGACAATAGGTTCAAGCATGAGTACGTGATTGATCATCCGTACGTTAATGATAACCAGCGATGGCTAATCAATTTCAGGGCCTCTGCCAGTTTTTGATGATAGACTAATCAATAAAATTTCTTAATGTCCATTAGTTATTATGGAGAGTTTATACAATATATGTGTGTTTGTTGCTAATTGTATTAAGAGTAATCCAGTACACGGTTCCTTAGACCGATTGCAATATATCTAAACTAATCTCAAAATAGTATCATATATAAAACAGAACGTCGAAATTTTGTCTCGCTATAATTGAATTTTAGAAGTACATCATAGTATGGACATAATTTGCCACGATGTTGAGTAGTACACTATGAATTCTAGTAAATTTCTATCTTGTTGCTATGGCTTAAAATGTGAAGTTATTACCAATAACGAAACATAAATGTTTTCTTTTATAAACCTCCGTGGTCATTTTCTAGGACATTATTCTTGTTAATTGTACGCTCAATCCAGACAAAATAGTTAATCAACCACAGGTCCTCGATCCAAATTAATCATATTGTGCACTCAGTCGATATCTCTTAAGAGTTAACCGTGGTTCAGTGTTTATCTTACTAAAAATATTAAAAATGATACTGGCTTTCCTTCAAATATGGATGGTCGTTGAAACAAAGCTAGAAAAAAGATTTAAAAAATACGGTAGATTGTTCCATCAAGGCATCAACCCCACTACTCCAGCATGACTCAGCAGACAATTAACCTTGCGTTGCATGCGTCAATGCGTCCAGGATAATTGGAGAATTGGCGTGGAAACACATTAATAGGAGCTAGCTCTCTATCAGTCCCAAAATACAGCAACTTCTAGCAGACAATTAACCTACATCATTATCTCAATCAATTATAACTATTTCTCATTTAATCTCATCACACTCCTTAAATTTCGTGATTTTTTTTAAAAGTGTTTATATTTTAGAACGGAGAGATTACTTTCTCTGTCCCATAAAAAATACTACCTCTGATTTAAAGTTTTCTTATAAGGTTAAGGGTGTAGCTTAGTAAAGTTTTCTTATAGGGTGGAGGGTGTAGCTTAGAACAGCCAAAAGACAACAACTTTAATAATGGTCTCAGAGGCAAAGGAGTTGGAAACCAAAGCTGTCTGCAGCAGTGCAATGTCAACTTAAAGAGGGGTTAGGGGGCGGCAAGAGATAAGGGGATAGAAGATTACAGTTTTAAGGTAGTTAGCAGCTGCCGTCACATGGGGTGGACATCATCAGTGTTCAACCGGAACACCACCCTTGTTTGAGTAGTACCTATGCAATCCTCACCCAAAATAACCATATAAAAATCTTATATGCAGCTACCAAATTATCCTTCTAAAGTGAAAGAAGGAAGAGCATAAAACTCTTATATACAGCTACCAAATTATCCTTCATCGCTGTTATGTTGATGTATGAGTGGAATTGGTATATATAATTCTAGTTTGAGTTTACCTTGTCTATGGATAAACTGATTGATATACATGGACTCAGCGCTTACCTAATTATAGAACCTATTGGTAATTAAACAGGACCATATGTTTTACAATTCCAACCTATGTTGGGAGTCTCAAATGAAGAGTATATAATTGATCTAGACTTTATCCTCTTACATGATATTGCACAAAACTTACTTAAATATTTATACTATTTTAAAATAAGATAGTGATGGTGGTAGTAAATCTGTCATCCCACCCACTTTATTTTAAATTACAATTACCCATTAAACTTCTTTGTACTAAAACTCAAATCACTTTAGATAGCCATGTATAAGGTCAAATTAAGTTGAATACCGGTAAACATTGGTGATACATTCCATAATCAAAACACGAGCAAACTATATTTTTTTACACAAGAGCAAGAGCTCTGCCTTTTATTCAAGGAGAGCAAACTATAATTCCTCCAGAAATACCTTTTTTTTATTGTAATTTTTGGTACCTCAACACGTGAGAAACCAAGAGATACTAATTAAAGTTTGCACTACAATGGTGGTAACTCTGAGTACGACTGTACGAGTACCTCCTACTAATGATTATTAAGCATATGAAATTATCCCGGTTGTTTGTTCTTTGATATGCCTTCCACTTCCACGTCAGCTTTCCCACACTGGTCTAAGTTCTTGGCACAATATTCTCTTCTGGTTTCCATGTTTTTTCCCTAATGATTAGCCTCTAAAAGACCTATATATTTAGCTGTTGATAGAAAATGTTGGACTAAAGAATTTATAGAAGTTGGCATGCACGAGCCAACCGTCCTACACCTCGAGCAAGTTTCCTATAATTGAGGCAGATTAAGAACAATAGCACTTGTACACGCTGAATCTGAAATTCTGAATGCATTTTCTATTTCTTCTCACCCTCTTGCATTGACCCTTCGCGCATTCTTTAATCCCAAATAACCCAAAACTAGCCATCAATCATACATAGAAAAATGCATCACAAGAACCAAAGTAAACACCGGCCAGAATGATGCCATTCCCTTGTAAACCAATTCAAAGTTTCAAACCCCAAAAGCCATTCCCTGAAATTGGAGCAAGCTTTCACACAGGGAATTTGATCAATTAAAAAAACCATTTGAGCACCTAACTTGTGCAACTATAAAAGGGGTAGGCCTCACAGCCCCCTATGCAACAACAACTTCAAGCCATCTCCTCTTCATTCTCTCCTAGCTTTCTCCCAACTTCCAGCCATTGCTCTCATAGCTGATCCACCAAGGAGCTAGAAGTAATTCCAGGGTTCTTAATTGCGGCAATGGCGATCCCGGTCATCGACTTCTCCAAGCTCGACGGCGATGAGAGCGAGGCCACCCTGGCGGAGCTCGCTGCGGGGTTTGAGGAGTGGGGGTTCTTCCAGGTAATCAAACACATGAAAACCATGCTGAACAATGCATAAATTTTCTTCCACCATCAGAGCACTGATAGGAAGAGATATATGATGTGGATCAATTATGATGCAGCTGGTGAACACTGGCATCCCTGATGATCTGCTGGAAAGGGTGAAGAAGGTGTGCAGTGACATCTACAAGCTGCGCGAGGATGGGTTCAAAGAATCCAACCCCGCAGTGAAGGCTCTCGCCCGCCTGGTAGACCAGGAAGGCGAGGGCCTCGCAATGAAGAAAATCGAGGACATGGACTGGGAGGACGTCTTCACCCTCCAGGACGACCTGCCCTGGCCCTCCAACCCTCCATCCTTCAAGTAAGTACGACGAGCTACCCTTTTTCCGCGATCTTTTTACGAGGTACCGAGAAATATATACCATATATCATTTCGGTAATTAGATCATAATGGAAAGAAAAAATTCACCAATAATTTCTCGAAAGGTAGAAAAATATAGTACCTCTTCAAGGATGGAAGGAAAAACTCGTATAAATCTCCGCGACCATCATCGGATTAATCGATGACAATTGCAGGGAGACGATGATGGAGTACAGGAGGGAGCTGAAGAAGCTGGCAGAGAAGCTGCTGGGAGTGATGGAGGAGCTTCTTGGTCTGGAGGAAGGGCACATCAGGAAGGCCTTCACCAACGACGGCGACTTCGAGCCCTTCTACGGCACCAAGGTGAGCCACTACCCGCCGTGCCCGCGGCCGGAGCTCGTCGACGGCCTCCGCGCCCACACCGACGCCGGCGGCCTCATCCTCCTCTTCCAGGACGACCGCTTCGGCGGCCTCCAGATGATCCCCAACCGCGGCGGCGACGGCCGGTGGATCGACGTCCAGCCCGTCGAGAACGCCATCGTCGTCAACACCGGGGACCAGATCGAGGTGAGAGTCAACCATAAGCTTTTGGTAATGTACAATGGTGGACTTGTCCAGCAAAAAAAGTTAATTAAATCACACTTAATCAAGTAGACCACAAACCTATGTATATATAAACTATGATGCTTAGCAGATTAAGTGCGTGTTTAGTGCTCTAATCAGGAGATGCTATGTATACAAAATCATCTCTAGATTCGGTGACCAGCAGAGTTGATACGAATTGAATTTCACAAAAACTACATGTTTTATGGTTCAAATTGCTAAAAACCACATACATTTTAATACTTGGCACTTAAGTAAATATATTTTGGTAGTTTAGTTTCACAAAACAACACTATCGATGAATGGATTCACTCGTGATATGACGTGGTTGTTCCATCTAGGATGAGGACGTGGCATCATATTAATTTCGTGCGATGGCTGGTAATAGGATGTCATGTCCTCGTCCTAGGTGAAACAACCACATCATCTTGCGGGTGAATCTATACATCGATAATGTAGTTTTGTGAAACTACACAACCAAAATATATGTACTCAAGTGCCAAGTGTCAAAGTGTGTGTGGTTTTCTGCAACTTTGACTACAAAACGTGTAGTTTTGTGAAATTTACTCTTTAAAAAAAACTGAGATTGTTTTGTGCTGTTTTAGTCTTGCAAGTTACCTTGAATAATTTAACTAAATTATACTATCAATCTTTGCTCCTATGATGATTTTAACAGGTGCTTAGCAATGGCCGCTTCAAGAGCGCATGGCACAGAATCCTGGCCACCCGGGACGGCAATCGCCGGAGCATCGCCTCCTTCTACAACCCGGCGCGCATGGCCAACATTGCTCCGGCGATCCCCGCCGCCGCCGCCGACTACCCGAGCTTCAAGTTCGGCGACTACATGGAGGTGTACGTGAAGCAGAAGTTCCAGGCCAAGGAGCCCAGGTTCGCAGCCCTGGCGAACAAGTGATTCAAATTGATGGGATGAAATTGAGCTTTGCAGCAATCTGAAGTCTGAACCTGCTGCAAAGCTCTCTCAGCCTTAAGCTACATATACAGTTCGAATAAGCGTGTGATTACAATACGGATTTGTAAGATGGATAGGTTGTCTAAGTATGTGCTTTGCAATACATATGTGTTAATTACTAGTGTCTTTGCAGCTATCACAACCATGTAATCATTCCAATTTGTATGGTGGCATGTAAGGTTGTCTTGTGCTGTGGTCAACAGATGCCAGAGTAGTTTGTAGCTAGAATTAATGGCATCCGTGGGGTTTTTTAAATTTTATTCGTTTCTGTTTGAATGTCAGTGTGTTTGCTCAGGTGGTGTGTACTTGTAAATTATTGAGATATTTGAGGAGGTCCTGTGTATGAAATATATTTTTGGACTATATACAATTTCAAGTTCCACTTTGGATTACACAGCTACAGTCTGTTTAAATTTCAAACAAGTATGATGCAAGTATAACATTTCATTTATATAGATAATGAGTACAGCTTAAATGAAGTAACATGAGTTAGTGCCTATAACATCATCACTGCTATCTGTTCTGACAGGCAAAATTTGTCCCCTTCTTTTTTGCCTAAAATCTATTGGCAGGTAGTCCAAAAGTTCTGGAAAAAACCTAAGAATTGACACCTCCCCTCATCGTAAGTTAGTAACAACAAATAATCACCTGACTATTCGAAGATCTTCTCCCCAGTTGAGAAAATCAAGAAAATGAAGGAGCTGAAAATACAAAGGTATCCTGGAACAAAGAAGACTGTCCTCCAACTTTCCGAGCTTGTCAGGTCCATGTTAGATGCCTTCGCTGCCTCCAGAATTCTTCCTGTGAGACCAACACCAACTATTCCTGCCAAAGTCCCAGCTGTGTTTGAGATCCCCATCACAATCCCAGCAAATTTTGGAGCCACATCCATGTGGTTTACAGCAAATCCTGCCCTTCCTAGAGCCAGAAAACCAAGAGATACTGATGAGCAGAATATTGCCCCTGAAGGTGTTCTGAATAATGGAAGGGCCATGAGTGCAATGGCTGAGACGACAAACCCGACTGTGTTCAGAAGTTTCCTTGTCTTGGTAACAGATAATATCTTTCTTGTAATCAGGTGATCAGCGAGGACCCCACCAATGTTCGAGAATAAAAACATATTCAAATAAGGAAGCATCTTTGAAAACCCCATGTCCTGGAGGCTTAGTTGAAGTCCTAATTTGAAGTATGTCGGCAGCCAGTTCATCAGAACATACAGTGCATAGTGGAAGGTGAAGTTGTTCACAACAATTGCCCAAATCGGCAAGCTAAAAAGTATCCTTGCCCATGGAATCTTCACAGTGCGAGGAGCCATAATCCCACCGGTTTGTACCTTCATCTTATCTTTGGAGGCCACCTTTGGAAGATCAGTGCGAGGCGGGTCACTGGCAAATTTGAACCATATTAAAAGCCATGCCACACCCAACATTGCTTCAACAGAGAAAACTGACTGGGGTCCCATGTTCTTCACCAGACTTGGAAGCAAAAGCATACCACACGCTGCACCAAGATACATCCCTGAGGTAGTTAGGGACACCGAGCGAGAACGCTCCTGGGGTGGCACCCATTGCGCCAGGACAGTGTGAATGGAAGGGAATATTAAGCCTTGTGCAACACCCACCAGAAGGCGAGAAAGAACAAGCAGAATTACTCTGTTTGGGTCTAGTGGAACAACAGCACAGATCGAAGACCACAGCACAAATGACAGTAGCAGGACAAGTCTACCTCCCAGCCTCTGAGCTGCCCATCCACCAGGAATCTGTGATAGAACATACCCATAGTAGAACATAGATAGTATCATGCCTTTGTTTGCTTGGTTTGTGCCAACAGCATCAGCTGCCACAGTGTAAGCGATTGAGAAGCCCACCCGCTCAATGTAGCACACATTGGTGCACATAAATGTCAGTAACACTATGGCATAGCGTTTTGGAAACTTCATCGTTATACTTGCTGGCAGATATCTTCAGGTCAAAATTCTTACTGATGTTCCACAAGAGCTCACCAAAATTCACCAAAACCCAGAGTATCTTGCATCCAGCTCTTAGTGTACAGGCATGTGAAACAGTACATTTATCCGCAAACACCAGTTGCAAATGGCATGGGCCTTCTCAGTTATGCATGATGTCGTTGCTATCCGCCTGATTGTACGAGCGAGGAACAGAGAACTCTCACTTATCAGTTCATGACCTGATCAAAATATGCAACATATAAGTATCGACAACGACAGTATATCAATTTCTCAACCTGTTCTAGAATAAAACAATAATTGTATATTATTAGCTACCTTACTGTTGGCATTTGCTAGATAACATGACAATTCAGTAACTCTTCAAAGTGCGTGCTGGAACCTAAGCTGATTTGCAAAATTAACATGACATACAGAATGAATTTTATCTAGTTTAAGTGTTTTAACGAAGTTTCCACATTGCAGCGAGCCTGCGATCTCAAGCCAACTCCTAAATTTGAGTGCTAGTTAGGCACATGAGTCCAATCAAATTGGAACCGCAAACAACGAACCGCACCTCAATGGTTCAACGAATCAAATTATGAAAAAGAAAATAAAAACGCCCAACCGCGGTCGATAAACAATCTGAATCTTACAGAACCCAGAACCAATTTCGCGCAATACCCTCAAGATCCTAAAACGATGGTCGTAAACAACACGTTCGCCCACCCGTATTCTCACCGAGAACAAAAGGGGAATCGGCCAATGCACCCGTACCGGTAAGCTCATGGAGTTGAAGTAGGCGCGGGGCTCGACGACGGCGAGCCACCGGGACGGGACAGGACGAGCGGATCTTGGGGACGGCGAGCGCGACCGACGGGGAGAGGCCCGACGAGGTGCAGCCCGCGGAAGTTCGAGGTGTATGTGAGCGCGAGCAGGGCGAGCGCACTCCTTGCTGCGCCCGCACTGAACGGCCCCTTGCTCGATCGCCGTCCCCAACGGCGGCGGCGGCGGCGGCGAGCCGGCGGTGGTGGGATCGATCTGAGAGAGGAGGAGGATGGAGCTAGACCTGTTACCGGGTCGGATTTTGGGGATTTTAACTTAAAAAGGACCCGTTTAGACGAACCAGGGAGGAGAAGTCAACAAGCCAGTGGTCAACATGTACGATGGAGAGACACGTGGATTAATAATGACTTTGGGAAAAAAAATTAGTACGGACTGCACTGAAAAGGAAGGGGGAGAATCGAAATAGCCATTGAAAAAAACGCAAACTGCAAATTTACCTCTGTCTTCCGTTGGTACAGGACAATTGAGAAAACCAAAGAGAAAAATTAAGGCAATAATTAGGCCTTATTTAGTTAGGAAAAAAATTTAAATTTAGCTGTCACATCGGATATATCAATACACATTTAAAATATTAAACGTAATCTAATAAGAAAACAAATTACATATTCCACTAGGAAACTGCGAGAAGAATTTATTAAGTATAATTAATCCATCATTAGTAAATATTTACTGTAGCACCACATTGTCAACTCATCTCACAATTTACACGCAAACTGTGTAATTCATTTTTTTTCATCCATATTTAATACTCCATACATATGTCCAAACATTTGATGTGATGGGTGAAAAGTTTTTGTTTTAGGAACTAAACAAGGCCTTAGAATGGTTTGCCCTTGCTAAGGATCGATTTATCTGTTCCCTGCCTCTTCTCCGGAGTGCCAGCACTGACATACAATACTCATCTGCTCCCTTCCCCTCGATCCAAAAAAACCTAATGCGTGGATGGTTGCGCACCCTCCCCCATGTGGCGCAGCCACGTGGCGCACGGAGAGGGCGCGCGATGGGAGGGCGTGGGAAGGGGACACGTGGCGGTTTTTTTTCGGTTTTTATATTGTACTAGAAAGTAGGCACGTCGATCGGTGTGCGTGTCAATTTATAGCATGTGTGTTGTTTAATTATTTTAAAATTTTAGGCTTGTAAACGGATATGTTATTATATATTTGTGGGCTGACGTAGATTAATACAAATAAATGAATAAAGAAATTATTATGAAGAATAACCCTGGATCTTAACCTAAAATATAAAAATTGAAGATGTTTCCGCAAAAATTTTGTTACGTCATCCATGTTTGAGTTGGTTTTCTAATATTTATCTTTATCTCTAATCTATCTTTATACCTAATAAAAAATAAGGAAGGATTCCGTGTATTTGCTTTCGTACATTGTCCGTACATGTCTAATATGTTGCCGCGCGCCTCCAGCCGCCGCCCGGGCCAGACCATAACGCCGCCGCCACATCGATCTACCTCTCCATGCGTTTTCTCCTCTAATTAATTGCAAAAATTGATTCTTCACTCCTCCCTCATCCTTTCACCCATGATTTCCCTAATCAATTTGGCTCTGATTCACTAGATTTAATCTCTGTTTAACGGTAGTGGATGATGGCCGGCCGATGATCTTCCCCTAGTCGTTTTTATCCCGAGTTTTGCAGATTTGCTCTAGTTTTAGGAAAAATTAAAAGAAGAGATTAAATGGATCAAAAGCCATCAATCAATTTTGGGAGATTGAGAAAAATTCAACTAGATTTGATGGGGTTGATCTACTTTGGCATTGTGCTGTGAATTGTCTTCCGAAAGTTAAGAGAGACAGGCAGAGCGAAGGGAGGTAGGAGACAACACCTTTTCAATTATAATGTATAGCGATATTGGTGTTTCAATTTATTACTCAGCTCTCAACAGTTGTTATATCACTGGAAAAAATGTCTTTACCCGTTGCAACGCACCTGTATTTTTTCTAGTATTAACCTAAAATGAAAAGGATCCAATAAAATGGAACAGAATGCCACGAATTGATCTTAGTATTGTGGAGAAGATCGTCGCCACAGTGGTTCCACTCCTTTCTACACACCTCGGTCCATGATGCATTCCATTGTTCTCACAATGATCAACTTACATTGCAGTAACTATTGATTGAGAGAACAGTTGTGGTCATGTTTATTTATTACAGTTGTGGTTTCATGCTCGTGAGAATATTTTGTTGGTAAAGCTTTCGAACACGGGCGATATTGCTGAGTGCTAGCAATGGCATGCTAAGGTTGTGTTTATGCTTTAGCCCCCCTCAAGCATGGTTCTCGTAGGCAGCTAGAATGGACCAGCACGGCAGCACGCAAGATGAACCAGCACGAAAAATACCAAAGTTCATTTGCGTTAGTACACATGCACGCACAGCACATGGACCAAAGTTGGGCTCCTCTTGCTGGGCTTTGGCCCAGGCAGGCTCAAGCACGCGCGTGATGAATACAAACTTGGAGGGAACAAGTTCACAGGAGGTCTCTCAACTTAACCGCAAGATTTTTTTAGCTCCCTTAACCACAAAATAGAAATGTATACCCTAAAACTCACACAAACCATACACTCAAGATCCTATGGCAGTATATATGAGTGGTTTCGCTAACATGGCATCCTAGTCAGCAAAAGAAATATAAGTACATGGGGCCTACATGTAAGTGAGAGAATGATGTGGGACCCACATCTCTCTTTTGTTTTCTTTCTTCTTTCTCTTCTTCTCTCCTTGCTTCTCTTCTCGCCAGCAGCAGTGTCGGTGGCGCTCTTGTCCACCGCGTGAGGTGACGGCGACCTCCCCCACCGCGAGCAGCAGCGGCGTTCGCTGAACAAAGCCAACCTCAACCGTCGCTCCTCCTCAGCTCTATCATCATCCTCCCCTCGCTCCCCAGGAGCGGTTTCTTCATCCGAGCTCTCCTCTTCTCCAAGAATCCAAAATCTTGACCCAGAAGAACGACCTTCGTCAGCGACGAATCTGCGTCGCCTACCCCCTTGCCCCCTTGCTTGGACGCGTTAGTATCCGCCGTGCCGAAACGCCCTCGCCGTCGCCTGGACACGGCTGGATCCGCCACGCCGGAACGCCCTCTCCGCCCGATTTGCTGTGGGCGAGAAGGATGGTTGGGCCGAGACTAGGTCTAGCTCTCGTTGTCGTTGTGTCCAGGCAACAGGGGAGGCGGCAACCGCCGGTGAGGAAGGGCATGGTCAGCGGCGAAGGGGGGAAGAAGATGGGAGAAAGAAAGAAGACGGAAAATGAAGGAGAGTGATGGAAAACGTGACGGCAGTGGCACGGTCCTAATTATGTAAAATTTCAGTGGTACAATTATGAATAGACAAATTGTGATGACATTTTTCTGAATAGCTAAATTTGCAATGGCAGGATACAATTAACCCTTAATTTGCGTAAATATTTAATTTTTCGTAAGAAAATGTGTCGTTCCATTTTGCGTGCGCTGAAGGTGAGGTCCCAAACTCAGATCCCGAACACATATTTATCAATCAACACGACGATCACGCCGATGAAGATCAGCACCATAATCGCAATGGAGAGGAAGATCACCAATGCGCACAGCACGCTGCAGCACAACCCAGCTTCGTCGTCGTAGGCGGTCTGCGCTGTCGTCTGCGGCTGCCGCCGCTGCACGGTGTACAAGCTCGCATTTCCCAGCTCGACGTCGACGAACTCGCCGGTGAGCTGACGTCTTGGCGGTGGGTTCATCGTCTCAGGAGGGAGAGGCGGCGCCGATGGCGTGACCAGCTGGCGCAAGCGATCGACGTCGACAACGGTGGAGCTCACGTTTCCCAGCTCGACGTCGACGAACTCGCCGCTGAGCTGACGTTCTGGTGGGAGAGGCGGCGCTGACGGCGGCGGCACTGGTGGAGGCCCGACGACCTGGGTCGACATCACCGGCAGCCGAGACGACGACGGTGGCGCGTGCGCAGCAACGAGCGATGATGAACCAGCAGGTGAGGTCTAGCTTGCTTACTTATTGCAGCTGTGGCTTTGGATTCAGGAGATGGCTTCGTCTCCAACATATATATTCATATCGACGCTCTGATTCAGAATCCGAATCGGACAACGAAATCTTGGATGCGACAGCGAACGGAGTCCGACGTCAAGTCGAAGTCGGAGTTGGATACGCGTGTGCGAGAGATGCGAGGCAACTATAAATCGCATCCATGAACGAACGATCCATCCGCATCAACTCTACCTCTTCCATCGATCTCTTCTCTGAGCCTTTCGTCGTGGTTCGATCGATCGATCGATCTTGTGTTGATGGAGAAGGTGGACGCGCGGCGGCGGGTGTACGAGTTCCTCGACACGGTCGACGGCGACCCGACGCGCGCGCGGGGGCGCGCCGTGCGCTGCTGCGAGATGGCGCTGAACCTGTACGCGGAGTACGGCGACATGGCGGAGGCGCGGGGCCTCCTCCGCGGCGGCCTGATGCAGCGCGACGCCGACTACGGCAGCATCTACCGGGGCTGGATCGCCATGGAGGCCGACCACGCCGGCAACGTCGACTTCGCCAGGGCGCTCTTCGCCGACTGGCGCGCGCTGTGCGGGGACGAGGACGGCGGCTTCTGGTGCCGCTACATCGCGTTCGAGGCGCGCCACGGCGGCGCCCGCCGCGCGCGCGACGTGGCCGAGGCGGCCGTGGCGGCGTGCCCCGGCGAGCCCGCGGTGCACGCCAAGTGCGCCAGGCTGGAGCTCCTGCTCGGCCACGAGGGCCGCGCGTTCGCCGTGCTCGCCCGCGCCCTCGCCGCCTTCGGCTCGGACGCCGCCGCGCAGGAGTGGCTGGTGGACCAGGTGCGCGTCTACCGCGACGCGCTGCGGCGGCGCACCCTCGCCGGCCGCCTCCGCTCCTGCTGCCGTGCCGTCATGCCGTCTCGTCGCCCGCGTGGATACGAGAGGCTCCAGACCGTATGATGCGACGACGCGACTGCATATAAAAAAATCGAAGTGTGGAATTTGTGCTGTTTTAATATTGTCTTCCGCACAACGCTATCAAGAAACATACTTGTAAAAACAAGTACTATACTCTATTGTAAGCAATACCTTGCTTATGTCCCCCGAGAATACATACAGGGGCGGAATGGAAATTTGGGTAGGTCCTGGACCAGCCCATTGTAATTTTGACCCATCAATCAACTATTACATCTGTTTCGCTTTGATTTTTTTCTAGTCAAACTTTATTAAATTTGATAAGTTTATTGAAAATCCTAGCAACATCTAAAGCATTTCATTAAATGTAACATTGAATATATTTTGATAATATGTTTGTTTTGTATTAAAAATGTTATTATATTTTTCTATAAACTAGATTAAACTTTAAAAAATTTGAAAAAAAAACTTAAAATGACTTATAATATGAAATATAGGGAGTTATGGACACACAGGGCCATGGTCCTGGTGGCCTAGGATTTGGGTTTGGCCTAAAAATGTAGTTTTAGGGGAAAACGAGTATATATTGCTACGGTGATGGATTTTAGTCCCTCGAGGGACATCCACTCATTTGATACATGTTGCTCAAAATATCATAAAAATTAAATATATACAAGGTAGATATGTCAAATGTTACTTTTATAAATATGCAAATTCAAAATTGACATATACAAGTAGAGAAAAGGATAAACTTAAATATGAACAATGTGTCAATTTTATTTATTTTAACTTTTTTTATGATTTTTATGGTGAAAATTATGACAAAATTATCGTGAGTAGAGCGGTATGTGGTGAACATTCTAAACAGAAGATCAAGGATGAGGCAAAGCCTACCTGAAACTATTCTAAGGTTTCGTGAAGTTAGGTCTTTTTAAGGAATTGTAGTTTTTCTGTGGTGAAATTGCAAAGTAGGGTAAATATTATGGTTTTATTCCAAATTTAAGAAACATTGACTGTTTTAACTCAGTTACCAAATCAATTGATAAAATTGAGAGGAACATACAGCGAGATATTTAAAATGCGTACTAATTTCAAGAATTTTTTAAGATTTTTTCCTACATGAATTAATTATAAAAATTTCTTTAACCAACTTAAATTTAATGCATATGAATACTATTATGCAACACAAGAAATCACAAAAACACCAAAATTAACATGTAATTTGGTCTACACATAACTTACAGGGTACATGATGAAAGACACAGAAAATCATTAATACTCTGTAGTGGTAAGCAATTTTTGAAACTAAGATATAGCATGACAAAAATACTACAGCCCTAATAGGCTATAATAATAATAATAATAATAATAATAATAATAATAATAATAATAATAATAATAATAATAATATAATCATCTCACGAACTAGCACCGGAACAACCGAGGCCAAGCACCGCCAGGTTTCTTGGTGGAGCTTATACCAGGATTATTTACATTAGGAGAGAAGAAAAATCATCATGCCGATCAAGGACGTACAAAGACGAGTATATATCACAATCACAGGCCACAACCACAACTGAGAAGAACCTGCATGATCGCCCGACCCAATTTGCTGCAGAACCCAGCTGCTCCGTCGTTCTGCTGGGTCGATCCCCCAGCTCCCAGCTCCACGTCGACGAACTCGCCGCTGATCAGAAGCTCCGGTATGTACTCTGGCGTCAGCGACGGCGGCACGTGCGATGGGATAGGCGGCGGCGACGACGGTGGCGGCGTAGGTGGCGGGCCGGCGACCTGGAGCGACATTACGACGACGACGGCGAGCTAGCTAGCGGTGAACAATGCCAGGAGTTCGTTAGCTAGCTAGGTTAATTAGAAGTGCAACTCAATTAGAGCTAGCTATATATGGCTCGGATCAGGGAGATTAACCCATCGATATATGGATGATGCTCGATTCGATCAGGATGTGAGAATCGGACAAGGACGACGTACGCCTTGGCATGCACCACTGCAAACGGAGTCGGGCATGCATGCACCAAGTCGAGGTCGAAATCATCCGCGGCGCCGGCAAGCAAAAGAGTGGTTGGTGAACGAAGGTGCGCGGCTATACCGCGACGCGCGGAGGCACACCCTCGCCGGCCAAATGATTAAGCTCGTGCTGCCACGGCATCGATCGATCAGGCGGCGGTTGGATAAGAGCATAAGAGCGGCTACATACAGTACGATCCGGCGCCGGGTCCGAGAACCTACTCTCTCCATTTTATATTATATTTTATATTATAACTCGATTAACTTTTTTTTCAAAATTTATTAAGTTTGATAAAATTTATAGAAACAATTAGTAACCTATAAACTATCAAATTAGTTTTATTTGAATATATTTTTTAACTAGAAAAAATACCCGTGCGTTGCAATGGGAAGGTTATTTTAATCATCTTATTATTATACGGTTTAGTTAAGGTAAAATTCACCGTGGGAATTCGCTTGGATTTATTTCTTTTATAAAATTAAAATCATGAGCTGCAATTAGGAGTTTGATCGTTTCAAGTTAGCATGCGGGTTTTTTTTAAAGAGATTTCTTATACGACTCTTTCTGTATTTTTAAAAGAGAACAAACTTAAAAACCGACTCAAGCACGGATTTGTATTTTCAAAAGCGAGTGAATTTAAAAACCAATTCAAACACAGATAACGTACCAAAGTACCTACAAAACATCTTTAATTTTCATAATAGTAGAGATATGTCTGTTTTGTGCTAAAAATACTACTATATTTTTCTGTAAACCTATAATAGAAAAAAGTCAAATAATGACTTATAATATGAAATGGAGAGAGTCCTTGCTAGTGGCAACGACGAGCAAGCGAGATCTCTGCAGCTGATCTCCGTGCCGGCGCGACATAGAACTAGAACAAAACGGAGATAGGTGTCACTTGTTCACTTGCTTTGCTTTATTATTCTTTAAGCCGAGATTGGGTTAATATGTGTTCTCCTCCCCTCTCTCCTCTACCGTTGTACGTGTAGCTTCAACACATGTCATACTGGGCAGGAAACAACGAAACTAGCAAAATACTACGGACGAAGCGTGTAGTTTCACAAAGAAGCAACTCTAGTTTTCTATGAGGTAGATATAGATGTAAAGATTTAAGAATTTATATAGCCAACATCATCATATTGTTTAGATATAAGTTTCGAGCATGGCTATAATTTTTATAGCGAAAGCCTTTTTAATATATTTCCTCCATTTTTCAATATTTAAGCACTGTTGACATTTTTATATATGTTTAATCATTTCTTTTATTTAACTTATGCAAATAATCAACAATATAAGTTAGTTGCATAAATTTTGATGAGATGAATGACAAACGTATGTTGAAAAGCCAACGACATTAAACATTAAAACCTGGAGAAGGAGTATTATACTTATGCAACTATTTGGATTTATACAAAAGAATTAGGAGGTTGAAAATTATATTTGTTTAATTACACAGTACAACGCACGCACACTCTGTATACAAACCATATATCTATGAGCATCTTCGAAGACTTGTTGATGTAGGAAAGTCTAATACTAAAGCAAGTACGCGTAGCAGACAATTATTGATGCAGTTTCGGTTTGAAATATAGGTCACACTCATGCATGACCCACATTTTACTAGAAGTGATTTTGTTGGGATTACAAAAATCACATTAGTTCCATTTCTAATAGAAATCGGAACTAAAGAAGATCTTCAGCTCTGGTTTAAAAGTGACACAACACTTTATAATCTTTAGTCCCGATTATTTTTAATCCCGGTTCAAAACGTCACCAGGCCGTGTCAAGTCCTCCACTATCTTTAGTCCCGCTAAAGATGTAGCGCCACCCCCACGTGAAGCTACCATCTTCAGTCCCGTTATTTCAATCGGTTCCGGATTAGACATCCCGGTTATATAACCGGGATTAAAGGGGTTGTGAACCAGGACTAAATTAAAGATGGGTTCCCCAACAGGGTTTGCTTCCACTAAAGCTCTGTCTCTGCATTTGATCTAATCCACCTTTTTTTTTTCTCTTTCAATTGAGTTTATTCGATATGTACTAGCATAGATATATTTATACTAGTATACCGCCTACATGGTTCGTGCTAGAACCCAATGCAAAAACTTTGCCGATGGCAACAACCTGGCAACATAGTACCTCCGTTTTTTAATAGATGACACCGTTGATGTTTTTACATGTTTGACCATTTATCTTATTAAAAAAATTACATAATTATAATTTATTTTGTTATGAGTTGTTTTATCACTCATAGTACTTTAAGTGTGATTTATATCTTATACATTTGCATAAAATTTTTTGATAAGACGAAAGGTCAAACATGTGAGAAAAAGTCAACGGCGTCATCTATTAAAAAAACGGAGGGAGTATATATATATAAAGAGTAAATTGCATCGGCGGTACACGAACTTGTCAGGTGGGTGCAATCTAGTGTATAAACTTGTAAAAATACTCGTTTTGGTACATGAACTTATCTTGCACGTGCAAACTAAGACCAAAAGGATATTACATGACTAATTTTGTTGATTTAGATGCTGATTAGGATACTACGTAAACATATATATGAAAATGTTGCTACTTATACTGTTAGACATACACTTGTTCAATAAAAAGATAGAATGAGATATAGTGATTGTAGAGAAAAATATAAAATACCGAGCAATGATACATGGGTTAGAAACATACAAAATTCAAGATAAAGTAGAGAACATATTTATAAATATAGAATGTTTTATGCATACTCACTATACGTATTCACGCCATATCCTAATCAATATCAGCTAGCTAGCTATTAACCTTGTCAAGCTATTTTGGACCTAGTTCGCACGGATTAGATAAGTTCGTATATCAAAACGAGCATTTTGCAAGTTCATGTACTAAATTGCACTAACATAACAAGTTTTGTACCACCAATGCAATTTACTCATATATATATATATATATATATATATATATATATCAAATTACACCGCAAACGCGCGTGCGTACACACCACATTCAAACACCGGCGAACAGATTTTGTGACATGAAAAAACAAATGAAGGACATCCCTTTCAGGGAACGAAATGCACATCAATCGTAGTCGTAGGCAGTGCTGAAGAAAATGTTGATGGTGTTGTCCTTAAGGACCCGGAGCACGCCGGCGTTGGACGGCGCGACGCACCGGGGCATCTTGAACTGCCCCGCCGAGCTGCCGCCGGCGACGTAGTGGCGGAGCACCTCCTGGAACGCCCCGCGCCGCAGCACCCGCAGCTCGAGCGCCCCGATGGCGCACGTCTTCCTCGACTGGGCGTACCCCGCGTCGGCGCCGAACGCCCGGTCCATCTCGTCGCAGCACCGCTGCAGCACGCCGCCGCCGTCCTCCTCACCGCCACCGTTCAGCTCCCAGAAGACGACGTAGTGGCCCGGGTCCGACGACGTGTCGGCGTGGCTGGTGTAGTCGGCGATCTCGAGCTGCTTGTGGTTCTCGCCGTCGCCGGCGAGGATCTTGGCGGCGCTGTCGACGGCGAGCTGGAGGTCGTGCTCGCTGTTCTTGTCGACGTTGATGGACAGGATGAGGCTTCGCCGGCACACGAACCTGAGCTTGGGCGTCGCGTGGTGGAATCCGGCCACCTTCACCACGTCGCCCAGCCGGTAGCGGTACAGGCCGGTGAACGTGGTCATGACGACCTCGTAGTGCTCGCCGACGACGACGTCCGTCAGGCCGACGGGGTTGGCGTCGTCGGCGTCGACGTAGCACGACGAGCCGGCGGCGGCCGGGTTGTCGTCGTCGGCGGCGGCGTCGGTGCAGGGCGGCTTGAGGGGGATGAACTCGAAGTAGGCGGCGTCGGGCAGCACGGTGAACACGACGGACTCGGGCGGCGCGTGCTGCTCCGCGTTGATGCCGATGACCCCCTCTGACGAGGCATAGTTGCCGGAGACCAGCGGCACGCCGCCGGCGTAGTGCCGCAGCTTCTTGACGTAGTGCTCCATGGACCCCGTCATGGTGGCCTGCACGTACCTGGCGTTCGGCCACAGCGCCGGGATCACCCCGGACCAGTCGCCCAGGGCGGCGCACCGGCGCTCCAGCGCGTCGGCGAGCGCGGGGTTCGGGGCGGCGAGGATGGGCGCCACGGCTCGCCGGACGGCCGGCGTGGTGACCCGCGCCGGCGACGCGGCGCCGCGGCGGATGTCCGCGCACAGCTCCCGCCACACCCGCTCGAGCGCCTGGAGCGCGACGACGATGCTGTGCGCGAACGAGGCGGACACGGCCCTGACCTCGCCAGCGAGGAGGAGGCCGCAGAGCAGGTGGCAGTAGAGCGACTCGTCGAAGTCCGGTGAGAAGACCACCTCGCTTGGGCTGCAGCTCGGCAGCCGCGGCCGCGACCTGGCCGCCATGGACGCCGTGAACTCCTCGCTGCGGAGCAGGTTGGTCATCACCGTCGTCGCCGTGAGCCCGCCCTTGGTCGTCTCATGCCGGCTGCCGTACATGAACTGCAACACCCTGCCGTCCTCCACCGGGAACGCCCTGCACGCACGGCGGCCGGAGACACGAGAGACGATCATTTAGCCGTCGGCGTCCACGTCGCCGGCGACGGCGAGACGGGCGTTCGATACGATACCTACCTGTTCGTGAACGCGTAGCTGGCATGGAAGAACCGTATCGACGAACGGAGGAGGTCGTCATTGAACAGGAGACGCTTGCGCTTCCCCTGCGTCGTGCCGGAGCTGCAGTGCAAGCAAAACGCCATGGCCGTTTGTTCTTGAGCTTTGACCAAAAGCTGTTCGACCGACGTACGCCGTGATCAACGACTTTTACCTTAGGGAGATGGCGGTGACGGGCTTGGCGGTGAGGACGGGGGAGGCGTCGCCGTCGGCGACGCGCTGGATGTAGGGGTCGAGGTCGGCGTGGGTGACGACCGGGACGCGGGCGCGGAAGCTGCCGGCGTCGGTGAGCCCGGCGAGGCCGAGCTCCCGGAGGTACTCGACGCCGGCGTTCTCGGCGAGGATGCGCCGCAGCGTCTCCCGCTGCACGTCGGCCGCGTCGCGCGTCGTCCGCTCGAACCAGGCCATGATCTCCTCATCCTCGCGGCTCATGATCAGCTTGCCCTCCTTCTCCAACATCTTGCGACAATCTGCAAGAATCAACAAGACGAAATGGAGTGCATTTATATCTGCAACAATGTGCAAGAGGATCAATATAATTTGTGCATTGTGTGATAGAGATCGGATCAAACATTTTAGTATAGTTCATGTGATGTACATGGTTAATTATAATTAACATAATTAAGCACGTTTTGAGACAAGTCAATGAAAATGTTTATCTAATGCCAGCTTGCCACTCTATGATGGCAGGTGATTGGTGTTGATATATAGCAAATAGTAGCTCAAGCATGATCATTTGGTTACCTAACCAGGTCGTTAAATAAAAAGTACAATTAGTTGATTTGCACGGTTTATCAAGCAGGTTATACAATGGTCGGTTGCTTGTACGAAGTGTTAATGAATTGAGTAAATTCCTGTACACGCTTGATAACAACTCAATGCCTTTTATATCCTTAAAATTTATTCGATCCCTTCTATACTACTGAAATTTCAAATTGATTTCTTCCATGCCCATACCGTTACATTTTCGTTCATTACACTTTGGTGGCAAATGTCTTTAATACTCTTGATGGTTTAGGTTTAAATATAAGCTTGAAAAACGATTTAAAATTTTATTTGAGTGCACAGTATGTGCATTTTATGTAAATAATGAGACTAAATAAATTTTGACATAAATTTTGAAAATAAAACAAATGTAAGATTAAATTTTCTATTTGAAATTTAAAATGGCAATAGATTTTATTTATCCGGAGCATTCTTAAGAACAATGTTGTGAACATTGGTAGTCCTATCTTTATATGTGTGCTCCTCGTTTTTATAACTTTTTAAAACATTAAAAAATACATAGTATTTTATTTTATTATCTAAAATAATTTTTTCGTAAATAATGTATAGCACAACAAACTCATTATTATTAATAGTCATTATTATTAATAGTCTTATGTGAAAAACTTTTATATTTTTAATAATATAACTCATAATTTTCTATGTTCATCCAAAGAGTAAAATGGTCATTTTTATATAAATTAGATGGTTAACTAACGGTCAACTGATGGAAGGGACATGGAAGGGGTTAAAATAAAATTTTAGGAGTATACAAGGAAATAAACAAAATACAGAGACATAAAAAAAACTAGCTAAAATTTTAGAGACATACAAGTGATTTTCTCTATCGAATTAGTCTGACCATTGATTTGAGCTGACTAATTATATGGCGATTCTTCATTTGCTCAAGTTATTAGAATATTTAATACTGGTTGATTCAGTTCTTTTATATATAGTGAGCACGGAATTAACAAAGGGTAGTGAAAGAAGGAGAAATCGTTGAGAACTTAAAGCCAATCTGCTTGTTGACCGATCAATCATCAATATCCTCTATTGCAAGTTTGCAACCCCACTCACTGTAATAATTGCTGTTGAGCTCACATCAAACCACGTTATAAAAGGCCTGTAATAATTGCTGTTGAGCTCACATCAAACCACGTTATAAAAGGCCGTGTTTAGTTCCCTTCAAATCTCCAAAAATCTCCAAAAAATGTTTAAACATATACATAAAGCATTAAATGTGAACGAAAAAACCAATTGCACAGTTTACATGTAAAATTACGAGATGAATCTTTTGAGCCTAATTACGCCATGACTCGACAATGTGATGCTACAGTAAACATTTGCTAATGACGGATTAATTAGGCTTAATAAATTCGTCTCGCAGTTTACAGGTGGAATATGTAATTTGTTGTGCTATTAGCCTGTGTTTAATATTTCAAATATTTGTCCGTATACTTTAAAAAAATTTTGACCAAAGAACTAAACACAACCAAAGTGTGTCATCGATTATATCGAAATGTCTATTGGATAGTAATTGTTAAATCAATATTTTAACACTTGCGATACCGCTTGCGTCAGGTATATCACTCTACAATATACAATTGTATAGTCTTTTCCAATGTATGATTTCCCGCGCTTTGATACGGGAATTACTAATTAATTATCAATATATATTTTTTACAATCAAACTAGCAATAAATAAGAAAAAAAATAATGAAACGTCTGGGTTATCAGTACTTATATGAAATGAACAAATGATATATTCACGCTTTAATATGAATATATTAAATATTATAAAAATAACATATATATTTATTAAAATATTGTGTAAATGATGTGAGATATGATGATTGAATATGCTTACATGTTAATTTATAGAATTAAATAAATTGTAGATGATGTTATATACTTGCATGGGTTAAATATATAATAATTATTGATGGTTGATGATATAGCATGGTTACGAGTTTTAGATCTAGTATGCTATAACTTTATAATATAACTTTATAGAAGTATAGATTAGAGTTAGGACTGGATAAAAAACTCATGACTCAATAGCTCACGCGACCCAATGACTGATTGTTGTGGCTGCTGGGCCATCAACGACGGCAACGATAGACAGTTTGGAGAGAGGCAGTAGTGTGGGTCATACTAACATGTGGGTTCATATAATTTGTTTTAATTTTTATTAGCAAACATCCACACAACGTGTGGGCTCCATTAGTGTTTTTTTTTTAATTTTGTTTCTAGTGTCACGTAGGCTCCACGTGAGATAATAAAGATCTAAGTAAAGAAGATGCCACATCCCATAGTTGCTTCTAATACTGTTGAGAGACATGATTCGGGAGACACTCAACACCTGTTTTACGAAAGTAGACTTTTTTTTTTAGAAAAAAAATGTTCACACAAAAAACGACCGGGGCGGGCGGGGGGGGGGGGGGGGACTTGGACCCACCCACTTCTCTCTTCCTTTTTTCTACAAAAGATGTTTCACCTAGTGTATTTAGAATGTTTCACTATTTTATAGATCTAATGTTGTAGTGAATTAAAATACTCTTTTGCAATAAAAAAACCCACATATTTTGGAAACTCTCTATTAAGGGAATTTGGTTTATTTTTTGTTCCACCAAAAATGTTTCACATAGTGTATTCACAATGTTTCACTATGTATAGATCTAATGTTGCACTGAACGAAACATTCCATTGCAACAAAAAAAACCCACATATTTTGAAACCCCTATTAAGGGAATTTGGTTTATTTTTTGTTCCACCGAAAAATATTTCACCTAGTGTACTCACAATGTTCCACTATGTATAGATCTAATGTTGCAGTGAACTGAAACATTCTTTCACTATTTGCTGAAACATTGTTTTTATATAAGGTGAAACAACACCCGATTTAAACGAGTGAAATATTTTCGATCTACTTAGTGAAACAATTTCGATATACCTGGTGGAACATCATGTAACATTTAAAAATAATTCAATAATAAGCTAATTTTTTTCGTCGAAATATATCCATGTGTGGTCTTGTTTTGAAGATTTAATTGTAACGAATTTAATAATTCAATCGGATCATGATTTGGATAAATTTAAGAGATAAATCAATTTAAAATAATTTTGTATGTAAATCGGGCGCTGACGTCATGCTAACGTCAGCGCCCGATTTTACCCCCTCCGGATCGGGCGCCCGACCGGGAGTCATCTAAAAAAAATAAAAATCGTGGGCCGATATTTGACTGGGCCTTGAACCCTTTGACTACAAACTTCGATCAATTTTACGTAATCGACACAGCGTTGGCGTATTCCGGTATCTCCTCTCCGATAAAACCCTACATCGTGCAGCAATGGCGGGAACCCCAAATTCCGCTCCCCTCTCTTCCCGCGTTCCCCTCTCCCTCCCCCTCCCCCCTCTCCGGCGATGAGCTCAGGCGGACGCGGCGGCAAGCGGCGAGGGGCGCCGCCCCCGGGGCCATCCGGGGCGGCGGCGAAGCGGGCCCACCCCGGTGGCACCCCGCAGCCGCCTCCGCCCGCCGCGACGGCGGCGGCGCCCGTGGCGGAGGAGGAGGACATGATGGACGAGGACGTCTTCCTCGACGAGACCATCCTGGCGGAGGACGAGGAGGCGTTGCTGCTGCTCGACCGGGACGAGGCCCTCGCCTCACGCCTCTCCCGCTGGAGGCGCCCCGCGCTCCCCGCCGACCTAGCGTCCGGCTGCTCGCGCAATGTTGGTACGGTCCTCTCCTTCCCTTCTCCCCCACCCGCTCTCATCCTATGCGTGCTTGGCTATCTCCGGTATGTGCAGTTGGGTTACCGAGGGAGGCGTAATTGGGGTTGGATCCAGGGGTGAGCGACTGCCGCTGGATAATTTTTTTGTGTTGTCCACATCTCCACAATGCAGGGTCGATTGAATTGATATGGTGAGATTCAGTGCTAGGATTTGGGTATTGTAGCTAATTATGTGCAAACTAGCAGGGTTTTTTCAGGTTCAGCTATAAGAGTTGAGAGCATGGTTAATTCCTACCGTTTTGGGCCAGAATGATGGACTTTTGTGGTATTAATTAATGCGCTCAATTGGTTGGTGAATTTTTTTTTGTTTTGTACATTAGGTTGGAACATGAATTTCTATGTAGTGTGTGACGTAGACTGTGACAATGTTTGGTATTGGTATTGTGCCTGATTCATGCATGGAGGGTAACCAAATGTAAACCTTAATTTTTTTTACTGAGAATCTAAACCTTAATTTCATAAATTATCCATTCTGGTCATCAAGAGAAAGCTGATTCTGTTATATTCAATTGAACTATTGGTGGTTTTGAAATTGGTAGACCTTGATTTTCTTTATACTTGTACTTTGTGCTGTTTTATTTTAGAAATCATTGCCAATTTTTTGTTGACAAACTGATGTTTAAGTGTAATATTAATGATTGCATTTGCACATAGACTAGTTAGTTTGACCTTCGTGAACTCAGAGGTCATGTCCTGTTCAGCCTAGATTTCTATAACATCACTAGTTACACGTGATGTATAGAGATGGAATAGTAGTTTATTGTCTGAATGTTTCGATGAACAAGATACTCCCTGCAGTTGTTAAAGAAACAAGTTATAACTTTCACGGGCAAGTCTAACAAAGAATGATGATGGGATAGTGTTGTCTTTGTTTGGCCACCTCTGGTATGAATGTTTCAATCTTGCTACTCCCTGCATTGTTAAATAAACAAGTTCTAACCTTCATGGACAAGTCTAACAAAGAATGATGATGTGATGGTTTTGTCTTTCTTTGGCCCCCTATGGTATGAATGTTTCAACGAACAAGCTGCTCCGTGCAGTTGTTAAAGAAACATGTTCTAACCTTAATGGGCAAGTCCAACAAAGAATGTGGATGGGATGGTTTTGTGTTTGTTTGGCCACCTATACCCCTATCAATACACATCAGCATGCATGTGTATATATATTTCAATTTAATAGGTGCTGTTCTTGACCTAGCAAATGCCGGTCACAAGCTTTTGGTTGCAACTTCAGCACTCAAGTTTGTGTTGCTAGATGTGTTGCAATGCATAGGAGTGAATATGGTAGGATGTAATAAATGCTACTACTTAACTATATCTTGGTACGCGAGAAGATTCCCAAAACATCATCGTTTGATGACTGGAGGGACTAATAATCATGTGATGGTCTTGTTTTGTAAGGATTGTTTGTCATAGCATAGATAGTTTGCTAGCTCTTTTGTTAGGTCTATTTTGAACAAGGATCTATGTTGACGGTTCAGTTACAGGTTTTATCTTATTCTTGACACTCTGCTCCTATTGTTGGATTTCTAGCTTTTCAGCAGCTGGAGATAGATTATGTTATTGGTGAGAGCCACAAAGTACTGCTCCCCAACTCATCTGGTCCTGCAGCTATACTCAGGATATTTGGCGTAACTAGAGAAGGTTATATATGTCTATTTAAAACCTATCTATCTTTCTTCCTATTTTTATCATATGGCTAATGCTCATATATGATGTTGTCATGTTAACATTAGGTCACAGTGTATGCTGCCAAGTGCATGGATTTGAGCCATATTTCTACATCAGTTGTCCAATGGGGATGGGCCCTGATGATATTTCACGCTTCCACCAAACACTAGAGGTTTCTGTGCTCCATTGTATCTTAAACCAAGATACTTTCACAAACGGGATACATTGGCAGTATGGGTTTTCTTTACATGTTTTATCATACTGTATTACAGGGGAGGATGAAGGATTCAAATAGGAACAGCAACGTGCCAAGGTTTGTGAAGAGAATCGAACTTGTGCAGAAGCAGACAATCATGCATTACCAACCACAGCAATCTCAGCCTTTCCTCAAGATAGTGGTTGCTTTGCCAACAATGGTTGCTAGTTGTCGCGGTCAGTGTTGGTTTAAGAGACAAGATGATTACTATTCATTGTTGTATATTGAGGTCACAATCTTTTTACGCAATGGATAGCTTAAATATCATTTTGAGCTGCAGTAATATATTATTGTGTGATTTTATCATCTTTATTTTGTGCCCATATTTTATGATCTACTGAGAAGCTGCTACAAGTTACTTTGTCATTTTTTTGCTGGCTTACCACAACTGACATAGGTTTGCACTTTGCACCTATAGGCATCCTGGAAAGGGGCATAACAATTGAAGGCCTTGGTTCGAAGAGTTTTCTGACATATGAAAGCAACATTCTTTTTGCACTTCGCTTCATGATTGACTGCAATATTGTTGGTGGTAATTGGATTGAAGTTCCTGCCGGAAAGTATATGAAGGCAGCTCGTATCATGTCCTATTGTCAGCTAGAGTTGGATTGCCTGTATCCTTTTATACTAAGTGAATATCTTCAAATTTATTATTGAACTATGATATTACTTTTCATGTGCATTCTTAAGTCAAATAACAGATATTCGGATTTGGTAAGCCATGCTGCTGAAGGAGAACATTCTAAGATGGCTCCATTTCGCATATTAAGTTTTGATATTGAATGTGCCGGTCGCAAAGGTCACTTCCCAGAACCAACTCATGATCCCGTTATTCAGGTTGATTTCATTATCTACATATAGTTAATACTTTATATCATTTAGTTTCAATTCCAAATGTCTCTATGTACACAGTTTCTTGACTTGCTTCTCTGGATGAAAATAGATAGCTAACTTGGTCACCCTTCAAGGAGAAGGACAACCTTTTGTACGCAATGTTATGACGCTTAAATCATGTTCTCCCATTGTTGGAGTTGATGTTATGTCATTTGACACAGAGAGGGATGTTCTACTTGCTTGGAGGGTAAGTAATGCTGGTTGGAGTTTACAACAGGTACACAGAACTTACTAAAAACCAAGCTGATTCTGATTCTTTCCAGGATTTCATACGTGAAGTGGACCCTGATATTATTATTGGATACAATATCTGCAAATTTGACTTACCCTATCTTATTGAGGTACAGGATTTTGTAAATACAATATCTGCAATACATTTGGCAATTTGGGATATCTTGTTACAGTTAGATTTCATACATTTGCAGAGAGCTGAAGTTCTTAAGATAGTAGAGTTTCCAATACTTGGACGAATCAGAAATAGTCGTGTTCGTGTCCGTGACACAACTTTCTCTTCAAGGTTACTTCCTAGTCACTCTAGTCTATATTAGTTTTCATTTATCATCCATAGTATATTTTAGCCATTTAAATATTCACCATGCGTTACACTAATGCCTTTATGGTCAAATGGTTATACTTTCTAATTATGTTTGGTACTTTTTCCCCCTTACATGTGCAGGTCATGCTTTCTTCGTGTTATTTCTCCTATTTTATTTGGTTATACTATTGAATTTGTGCATGCATTTTTTTATAGCCTGGTTTAGCTGATAACACCATTCCTTCTCATTTGTCAAAAAGAAGATGCTGCTTATTGTTTAGAAATTACTTCCAATAATGAGTTGTGTCCTTGGTACTGTAAGACATTTCACTCCACATGTTTTCTTGCGGAAGCAATTTTGTCCTGCTTAGATAGACACTGTATTTCTTTACCTGTTAGCACAACCTGGTTTAGATATTTGATCCATCAGAACTTGGACACTGTTTGTTATCGCTTGAATTTCCACAATTCACATCATTTAGTAAGATAAATATTTAATGTTCATATCCCTTTCATTCATATGGGAGAAAATTGGAGAGCCAATATCATGCATTGTATTTCACAATCCCTTCCATTTTTCAGTCTGCATTAATCATGTATTACTATGACATTATTTCCTGGCCTGCAAGCTACATTGATATTGATGCAATACCTTGCTGTCTAAAAATCTCAAAGATGAAATGCAATGAAGAGAAAATGTATTTCTCTCCATGTAACATGAACTTAAATAACTCGACCAACCTAGGTGGAACTAGGTGGCTTTTTAATTAAGAAGAAATAGGTATCCAAATTTGTCTCAACGCGGAGTTTAACTTGGGTGGTCTAGACTCTGGACATACATCCACGCCCTTGACCAACTGAGCTAGGCTCAGTTCGTTATGTAACATAAACTTAACGATCTATTTGTTATTCTGTGTACATTTCCAGGCAATATGGTATGCGTGAAAGTAAAGATGTAGCAGTGGAAGGAAGAGTACAATTTGATCTTCTGCAGGTTATGATCTACTGATGATAGTTAGATTGGTAGTTATTATACATTATTACATTGTTTCATCTATTGCTAATCTTTACTTTCTGTTTATAATGCAGGCTATGCAACGGGATTACAAGCTTAGTTCTTATTCATTAAACTCTGTATCTGCACATTTCCTCGGGGAGCAAGTAAGACGAGACTCAAGATATTTCAAGTTCTCTAAATTGCTGTCAGCACACCCCAAAGTGCTTCTAAATCATGTTCACAGCTTTTCACTCAAATCTTCTGTGTTTGGTCACTTTATGGCTTGATTTTCTGTTGCAAAGCTAACTGCATAATGGGTGTCTATATTCTCTTAAGTTTTTTAGCAATGCACTACCTTGTTGCATTAAATATTCTCTTTTTAATTTTTCTGTTATTGGGCTTCTTTTGGGCAGAAAGAGGATGTTCATCACTCAATTATATCTGATCTTCAAAATGGGAATTCAGAGACACGAAGACGGCTTGCGGTTTATTGTTTGAAGGTCAGCTAAAAACTCCCTTAAGTTGTGTTTGAAAAAACAAATTCCCTTAAGTCATCTGATATTAAGCTGAAGTTTCTATGAAGTATGTTGGTTGAATTGTCGAGTTTTACTCGACATTGTTATATTTTATTTTCCAAGATAACGATGTTATTTTTCTATATTCTTTAAAAGAAGGGAATGGTGGTGTTGAGTGGTGAATCTGCCACCACCACCAACTCCCAAAAATTCTGACATGTGGGACCACTGTCCATCCCCTCTTAAAATCAAATGTACGGTAAAGGCACAGACAAAAGCTAACCATGTGCTGATGCTTCTTGTGCAAGAATCACCGATTTGGCAGCCAAATATATAGTTTTCTTCTTAGCAACGTGCCATTGTGATTTTTTTAATTCCATAAATATGTATGAGTATTTTGCTAGTCACAGCAAATAAGCAGTACCATAAGGTTGTTAATAATACTTCAACATGTGGAAACAATTGTGTTCTAATTTGCTATTTGCAGGTAGGTCTGCTAGACTGCCAGTGGCTTAGATATTTGCCAGTGTGACTGAAATGGCTGTTTGTAATTCAAATGACTATTTGATTCTTTGTTGATTTTGATGTGCCAGTTGGTTACTGGCAAATGGAAGCCTAGCTCTGATCTGCTCTGGTTTTTTTATTTTATTTTAAAAAATGACTACCTCCTTAACTTTTACAATTGCTGTAAACACAGGATGCCTATCTTCCACAACGACTGCTAGATAAGTTGATGTATATCTACAACTATGTGGAAATGGCAAGAGTCACTGGAGTTCCCATTTCATTTCTTCTTTCAAGGGGACAGAGCATTAAGGTGACAGTAACACCAAACTGCTAATGAAAATAATGCACTGCATTCTAATAAGTACAACTGTTCCTCAGGTCCTCTCACAGCTACTCAGGAAAGCAAAACAGAAAAACCTTGTTATACCAAATATAAAGGGTCAAGCGTCTGGACAGGATACCTTTGAAGGTGCAACTGTAAGTCAATGGACATGATTTGTGTGTTTCTAGTTCATCATTGGTTGCTTGCTGGCATGTAATGATACAACTACTGTATTTACTAAGAAATCAGAATTCATGCAAAAAAAAAAACTAGGCTGCGAGTGGTCTTAGATCAGTTGTATTACCTTGGTGTAATGATCTGAGATCAATAAAGCTTTCTTTATCCAAAATAAGGCAAAAAAGGAATGCTTTGATGGTTCTGTTGAGAAAAATATATTTCCGTACCTGCTCACTTTCTGTTTCTTTGTCATGTTTCTAATGGTCGTGCAATGAGCATTCTAGCTACATTCCTTCTGTTGTCCAGTTATTATTTATCTTATATCAATTTATGCCTTCCTTCATTTTTTTAGGTTTTGGAGGCAAGGGCTGGATTTTATGAGAAACCCATTGCGACTTTGGACTTTGCTTCGTTGTATCCATCCATCATGATGGCATATAACCTATGCTACTGTACTTTGGTAAAAATTAGTTTCTTAATTTCTGATTATAATACCTACTACATACAGCAGAAACATTTGTTCTCTGATATTATTGGGTATTCACAAAGCTCATGTTTACTGTTTGAAGGTCCCCCCTGAGGATGCCCGCAAACTCAACCTGCCTCCAGAAAGTGTCAACAAAACCCCATCTGGTGAAACATTTGTGAAACCAGATGTGCAAAAGGTAATTTCTTCCAGACATGGTAAAAGGTATTATTAACAGCACTTGTTTCCTAAACAAGACGACGTCTCAAATATCAGGGTATACTTCCTGAAATCCTTGAAGAATTGTTGGCTGCTCGGAAAAGGGCGAAAGCAGATTTGAAGGTATCATTCTCTGTTTCTCCCCTGCTGTTGTAGTGAGCCAATTGCACATAAAAATCCTCTGCACTTTAGGCTACATTTACATCCTATGCTAAATTCACCAATTACTTGTTCAGGAAGCAAAGGATCCATTTGAAAGGGCCGTTCTTGATGGTCGTCAGCTTGCCCTAAAAGTATTTACATAGCTTTTTTATCTCCAATTCCCTCAAATCAGTGATACACAAATGTGCACTCATTGAATCATGATATTGTTGGATGGTTTATGTTTCAGATAAGCGCAAACTCTGTCTATGGTTTTACTGGAGCGACTGTTGGTCAATTACCTTGTTTAGAAATTTCTTCAAGTGTGACCAGCTATGGTGAGCATCAATTCTGGAATCAATAAATTCATTGTACAGTTAGCTAACAAGAGAAATGTTGTATTGCATAAAACTGATGTATTTATCAAACAGGTCGACAGATGATTGAACATACAAAAAAGCTTGTTGAAGATAAATTCACGACACTTGGAGGCTATGAGCACAATGCAGAGGTGAATGATGAGTGGCCATATTCCTGTTTGACAAAACCTAAAACTGTGCAGTTGGTGGCCAGACATCAGCACAATAATCACTTTCTTCCCTGCCTGCATGATCTTTTGTTTCTTTAGTTATTGGTATATGAGTTTGGTTAGCCTGCCCTCTCGCTTATGTTCTATCTTTTCATGCTTTGTTTTTTGCATTACAGGTCATCTATGGAGATACTGATTCTGTAATGGTACAGTTCGGTGTTTCTACTGTTGAGGACGCAATGAAGCTAGGAAGAGAAGCTGCAGACTACATTAGTGGAACATTTATTAAGGTGACTCATTAACTACTGTGGTAACTGTTATTTGACATTAATGCCCCTCCGTTTCAAAATCATCTGAAATGATACTTGTCGTAATAATTTTGCCCTTTGCATTTCCTTTCTAATTTTGCATCTGCAGTATCCATTTTTTTTCCAATTTTGTTACTTTGAGTTCAACTCATATTTATGTTGATACCTTTCCTGCAGCCCATCAAGCTTGAGTTTGAGAAGATCTATTTCCCTTATCTACTGATTAGCAAGAAGAGATATGCTGGTTTGTACTGGACAAATCCTGAGAAATTTGACAAAATGGACACGAAAGGTATTTTCTTTTGTCTTGTCTTAGATATCATCTTACCTTCTTGCTTTAACATGATTCTAACTTTGCTTATAGGTATTGAAACAGTGAGAAGGGACAACTGTTTATTAGTAAAGAACCTGGTTACTGAGTGCCTTCATAAAATACTAGTGGACAGAGATGTTCCTGGTGCAGTTCAATATGTCAAGAACACCATTTCTGATCTACTAATGAACCGTGTAGACTTATCTCTTCTAGTTATAACAAAGGTGAATCCGCACACTACTTAATACGATTGAATCCTCTGTGTTGTCTGTGTTGTAAATCTTTAACTGTTTGTTGTACAGGGTTTGACTAAAACAGGAGAGGATTATGCTGTCAAAGCTGCCCATGTGGAGCTTGCTGAGAGAATGCGAAAGGTATGAGCCATTGTGTCTTTTTTCTGTATGTTGCTGATCAAGATAGGAGACACTTAGTGATGCTGCTGACTGTTTTTTCCTTGGTTAGAGGGACGCTGCTACTGCTCCTACTGTTGGTGACCGGGTTCCTTATGTTATAATCAAAGCAGCAAAAGGGGCAAAGGTAAACTTGAATGTACTTTCAATTGCAGAGTCATGTATTTATCTTGTGATGGTGATAGTTTGATGAAATCCTTCTTCTTGTAGGCATATGAGAGGTCAGAAGATCCTATTTATGTTTTGGATAATAACATACCAATAGATCCCCAATACTACCTTGAGAACCAAATCAGCAAAGTATGTCCAGAACACATTTCTTGATATTCGAAAATTCGCTTCCTCCAATTCTAACAAACTTTTAATTGCTAGCCACTTTTGAGGATCTTTGAGCCGATTCTGAAGAATGCCAGTAGAGAGCTGCTTCATGGAAGTCACACCAGGGCTGTTTCAATCTCAACTCCTTCAAATAGTGGAATAATGAAATTTGCAAAGAAACAATTGACATGCCTCGGATGCAAAGCAGTTATAAGGTGAATTTCCTACTTGCAAATGCAAAAAACTATGAAGTATGCCTTTCTTTTTTCCTATTGTGCTCCCTCCTGTCGTTAGTATATGACGTTTTACACTAAGATTAGTGTAAAAAACGTCATGTTGTTTTTTTACTGGAAAACGCCATAAATTATTGACAGATTTTCAATATTAGATTTTAGATCTTGTTCATCACAAGATTTAATTAAAATTACCATCTTACTGTAAAGAGCACCATTCATTTTGGGTACCCCTATCTAAGTGGTAAAACCTTATTTCAACTGCGTTCTTGTAAAAACCTTATATTTTAATCACTGTATTGTCACCCTGCAGTGGTTCCAATCAAACGCTTTGCTTTCATTGCAAGGGAAGAGAAGCAGAGTTATACTGCAAAACTGTAGGAAACGGTACGATATATCCTCTCAATAAGGGTTTACTGGGTCTCCTGGCGTTTGATTACTGGCTGAATTAATGTTAACGTCTGCAGTTTCTGAGCTGGAGATGCTCTTTGGGAGGCTCTGGACGCAGTGCCAGGAGTGCCAAGGCTCCCTTCATCAGGACGTTCTCTGCACAAGGTTTGCCATTTTTCTCCCATTCAACAATTTGTACATTTCAGTTGCATGTTAGCTATAAGCTTCTTGATCCACAAGCTTTAAATTTATGTTGGTGCAATGATCGCAGCCGGGATTGTCCTATTTTCTACCGCCGAAGAAAGGCGCAGAAGGATATGGCTGAAGCTAGAGTACAGCTTCAACGTTGGGACTTCTGAGTCCTCTCATACTGACGGAGTACTACTTTCCCCAAATATTGCGAAACCATTACTGTGAGGCACGCCATTGCGGGATCATGTGATTGCATCTTCATGCATGATGGCTCTGGCTTGTTTAGTTGGATCGGCTGAAATAGCTTTGTTCTACGGTCAGTTTGTTGTATTTTTAGGTGGTAGGTTATCTGTACCTCTAGCCGCTAACAGGGTAATCTAGTTGCTTCCCTTGGTGCATTGATGCAGCCATGTGTAAGGTAGATAAACAATTTTTTTTCATCATCTTTTAACTTCATGAGGTGATTGAGGCTGAGAAGCACCCATTCAAGAAATCCCACCATGTGAATCTTTTTAACTTCTAGGCTATTTTCACATAATGTATCTCCTCAGATGTGTGCTATTGTGTCATTCAAATCTCTATGTACTATCAAGTCCCCCCCAAGTCACAGGTTCTTCAGTATAAAACTATAAAAAAAAATCTGAAGAACAAAACCCCCCCAAAAAAAAAGCTACAAGCTCCAGTAATATCTAGCTCAGTTATTGCAATGCTGCAGCACCCAGTGTAGTGTAGATCACCCTGTACGTGCTAAGTATTGCAGCTACCACCGGATCAACCGACCAAAAGACTCTACTACATGGATCGCCGGCCGGTGACGGCGAGGTCATCTTGCCTCGGCTTCCGTGGGCCGCCACGTCGTCTTCCTCGCGCAGAGCATCGCTTCCCTGTTCTTGGAGACGGTCATCCTGACCTCCCATTGCAGCGACCTCACCACCCCCTTGATCTCGTCCACCGTCTCCTTGTCGTCCCTCACGATGAGCTTCCCGTTCGGCCGGAGGATCCGGTCCACCTCCACGATCACCGGCAACACCTCGCACCTTCAATTCAACACCAAAATCGTTCAATGTTGTAACAAAAAGGTCATTCCTTAACTTTTCATATCAACGCTGCAATCAATGTAATAAATAGTGTACAGTGGGTTGTTAGCGGATTAGTGTCTGTGTAGCGGACTGTGGATAGCGGCCGCTAAGTCCCAATAGCAAATATGAGAAAGTAACCTTAGATTGATATCAATATTAACATCAAGTTTCAATATTAACATCAAGTTGTACAATCCATATGTGAAGAACAACATTTAAGCGTTGTAATGGTCCAACAAAGTCAATAACAAGTTTTTATAGCGATCGCGAAGCGCTATAACGGGTTGCTATAATGGTAGAGAAGCGCTATAGCGGGCACTAAGTTACAGCATGCTATCTTCAGTCCGTTACGTGCTATAGTGGCTGCTATTGCGGGCGCTACGAACGCTATTTATTACCTCGGCTGCAATTGACGTTCTTCGATAATGGAAATCAATCCAGTCTCCAATACCGAAAGAGCGATTTTTATCATATTTTATTTTATAGTGTAAATTTCGGTAAAATTTCTCATATTGAAATATGTATATATATTCAGCCTGCTGCAATTGACAAAATTGATTACAGAAAATGTCGACATTATTGTACGAAATGCGAAGTAGAATGAAGTGATGTGAGATGGAGTTTGTGAAATTTGTTGTACCTACCTGGATTTGAGCTTGGAGAAGAGATGGTCGGCATGGAGGAGGTCGTAGGATCTCGGGTAGGTGCTGAATGACTCACACCAGTCATGGTAGATGCCGAACAGCCCCCTCTCGTAGATCACCGGCAGCGTGTCCGGCGAGTTGATCGTCACCACGTTCATCACCCACACGCTCATGTCCCGCAGCGCCGCCGCGAACCTGGCCGGAGATGAAATCGACGACACAACATCAAAATTAACCGAGATCGCCATTGCCGCCGACGACACGCCAGTGATCGATCAAACCAAGCTCTCGATGATCGCCGGCGACGAGATGATGTTACTTACCCTCCGTAGACGGCTCTCATGTCCATGACGTTCCTCACCGTCTTCCAGTCGATGCCCATGCCGGTGAGGTACGAGTTCCGGACCACCTTCCGCCAGTGCTCCTGGTCCGCCACGAAGTCCTCCGGCGCCGGCTTGCCGTACACCCCGACCTGGCTGCTGTTCAGCCAGTAGGGCGTCTTCTCCATCCTCTCCGGCCACCGCTCCGGCCACCACGACCCCCGCACCGATGGGTCCGTAGGCACCCAGTGCATGCACGCCCGCAAAGTTATGTTCCTGCGTTAGCGTGCACACCCAAAAGCTTTAGACCCCATTTGAATCAAAAGAAAAACCATAGGAATTCTAGAGGATTTTATTCTATGGAAAATAATCTTATAGAGTCCTTTGAAACAAAGGATTGTTTCCTATCAATTCCTTTGAAATTTTATGGAATGAACCTTATTAGAGCAATTTTGGAGGAAAATAAGCATGATGTCTTACCTCATGTTTTCCTTTTCATGTGTCTAAGGTTACTGCGTTTTTCCTGTGTACTAATCAAACGACAGTTTGAAGACTTTTCTGTGTTTCAAAATCCCATAGGAATCCAATAAATGTGGCATTCAATTCCTACATTTTTCCTATTCATCTGTTTTCTCAATCCTGCGATTCAAAGTGGCCCAAGGTAATGTGGAAAGATCTCATCAAATCATCGAAACTAATGGTGAGTGGTGACACATCGAATGTACTTAATTTTAGGAAAACAATGTAAATAAATAAAACTTAAAGTTGTTTGTGGAAAGACAACATATATGAAAACACATTAAGCATTAAAGAGTAAATTCCCTGTATCCCCTTGAAAACTCACCCAATCCCTTTCATACATTTGAAATTTCAACTCGATTCCTTCCATGCCCCTGCCATTACATTTTCCTTTATTCCGCTATTAACTTTGGTTGCAAATGTCTTTTAATGCCCTTGATGATTTATGTTTGAATATAACGTTGAAAAACGATTGAAAATTTGTTTGAGTGCATGCATTTTATGAAACTAAAGAGACTACATAATCAGTGCAGAAAATTTTGACATAAATTTTGAAAATAAAACAAATGTAATAAATTAATTTTTTTATTTGAAATTTTAATAGGATAGTGGATTTTTTTTACCGGGAGCATTTATAAAAAGAAATATCGTGAGCATTGGTAGTCCTATCTTTGCATAAATACTCCTCATTTTTTATGACTATAAAAATGAAATAAATACATATTTTTATTTTATTATCTAAAAATAATTTTGCCATAAATAATGTATCGCACAATAGACACATAACTATAATAGTTTCCTGCAACAATTTTACATTTTCAATAATATAATTCATAAATAACTATGTTCATCTAAAGAGTAAAATGATCATTTTTATGGAAATTTGATGGTCAACTAACGGTCAACTGATGGGAGGGATATGGAAGTGATCAAAATCAAATTTTAGAGACATGTAAGGAAGTAAGCAAAATTTAAAGGCACTAAGATTGTAGGGGTATACAATGGATTTTCTCAAAACTATACTATTTAACTACATGCATGATGCTCCTGCTAGTCACAAATAAACTATATTTGACTATATGCACGATTTGACTTTTGAAAGTGACATGGTCAATTTAGCTTCAAAATATAGTTTGAAGGGACTTTTTAATAGGTTTTATACTCAATAATCAATAAACATATACTGGTGACCATGTTATTATACTATATCCGTTCCAAAATACTTGTCACTTTGAGTTTTTATATATAACTTTTGATCATTCGTTTTATTGAAAGAATTATGGAATTATTATTTATTTTGTTTGTGACTTGATTCGTTATCTAAAATATTTAAGTATGACTTTTCCCTTTTTTTCATATATTTGAACTGAATTTTCAAATAAGACGAATGGTCAAACGTTGCAAGTAAAAAGTCAAAACGACCACTAATTTACGATGGAGGTAGTATAAAACATCACTTATTATTTATTATTTATTTTCTGATGAAAGGGGTATGTTAGAGAGTATGCTAAAAAAGAAGCTTAAGTCGTCGAAGAAAGTAGCAAACAACATCACTACAGGTCTGTTTTTGTGAGCTTCTGACATATACAGATTCTTTCACAACTAAAGCTCCCCAACAATCCATCTTTTTATCCTGATTCTAAGTATTTGTAGCAGTAGAATTCACAAAATAAAGTAGAAGCTAAAATCTATAAACCTAGCTTTTTAGATTTTAAGAAGCTGGCTACCAATAAGTTACTTCTTAGAATCTTAGGGCCGGTTCAGAGAACTTAAGATTATGAGGAACAAAGCTAGCTTTCGAGAATCTGAAAAAACTGGGTTTCTCAGTTTCCTACTTATAGTTCATTATCCCGCCCAAAAACAAGCCCTACCAAACATCCATGATATCTTACTCCCTCCATTTCATATTATAAATCGCTTGACTTTTTTTAGTCAAATTTCTTTAACTTTAATCAAGTTTATAGAGCAAACATATTATAAAAAATATATTAAATTTTAGATTTAATGAAACTAATTTGATATTTCAAATGTTGTTAAATTTTTCTATAAATTTAGTCAAACTTATCGAGATTTGACTAGGAAAAAAAGTGAAACTACTTCTAATATGAAACGGAATAATGAAGTTTGATTAGGAAAAAAAGTAAAACAACTTATAATATTCTTATATTATGAAACGGAGCGAGTTGGTACCAAGCAGCATTGGGGTCGTCGGAGGGCTCGCAGAGCGGCGGCTCCTTCTGGCGGCGCTTCATATAGCACGCGTTGTCCGCCGGCTTCCGGAACGTGACGAGCCCCACCTGGTCCACCGTGTCGCTCGTCTTCGACACCATCTCCCAGCACATCGCCTTCGTCAGCTTCACCATCTCTGCACCATCATCCCTCCACCTCCTCAGACCTCTATCCATCCATCGCGACAACACCACCACGACACCGTCGATCGATCGAACTCACCTCCCCAGATCTCGACGTCCTCCGGCAGCTCCTGGTACACCGGCGTGGCCGACCAGACGAAGAACCCGCCGGGCCGGAGCAGCCGGTTGAGCTCCAGCAGCAGCATCCCGCCCTCGATGTGCCACGGCACCCGGCACCGCGCGCAGTGCACCGCGTCGAACACGTTGCTCGGGAACGGCAGCCGCCGCGTCCCCATGACGGCGGAGATCGCCGGGATGCCGCGCTCCAGCGCGAACTGCACCTGCGCCTCGTGCTCGTCCTTGGGCGCCAGGGACATGGTCAGCACGTCGTGGTCGAACAGGTAACCGCCGAAGCTCGCCACGCCGCATCCCACGTCGAGCGCGACGCGGCTGCGCCGCCCCCACGCCACCTCCGGGAACGACGACTGGATCAGCTCGATGTAGTGGAGCGCGCCGTGCTTGAACTGCGTGCCGCCGCCGGGGAAGGTGAGGTACTCGCCGGAGACCTTCACCCAGTTCTGGTGCCCCTTGTACGCCGCGAGCTCCGAGTGCGGCACGTTGTGGTACCAGATCTTGTCGCGGCTCCGCGGCCACCGGATCGGGTCCCGGTACCCCTCCGGCGACGGGACGAGGCACGTCGGCGGCGAGGCGGGGCAGTGGCGCTCGCGGTGCTCGTAGTGCGCGGTCGTCTTGAGCTTCTTGATGGCGGCCTCGTTGTCCAGGCACGGGATGTAGTCGGCGCCGGCGCTCGTGTTGCAGAGCCTCCAGCCCAACGACGCCGCGCCGCCGCCGCCGCCCTCCTCCTCCGCCGCCGCCGCCACCGACGCCGCCTTCACCTTCTTCTTCTTCTTTTTCTTCTTCTCGGCGCGCTTCTTCTTCTCCTTGATCGACTCCGCCGCCTGCGTCGTGAACGACCCATTCTGCGCCGCGCGCTCCGTCAGCAGCTCGGCCTGCCCGTTCGGCAGCGCCTCCACCGGCTGCGCTTGCTCGCCATTGTTGTCGGTGAGCTTCTCGTCGGACATGGCGGCCGCCGCGACGATCGAGTTCTTGCTGCTCACGGTCGTCGTCTCCTCCGGCAATGGCTTGGCGCCCTCCTCCGACATCGTCTTGTTCTCGACGTCCTTCACCAGGTTGACGCCGTCGAGCTTGCCGTTCTCGTCGTCGAACGTCTGCTTGTTCTTGGCCGCGCCGCCGCCGCCGCCGCCATCGCTGCTCTCCCTCGCGTCGCTCGCCGCCATCGTGATCTCCTCGGAGCTCTTGTCCTGGACGACGCCTGGCTCCTTGGTGGTGTCACCCACCGAGTGCTCGGTGGTGTCCTTCATGTCGATCGCCGCCTGCTCGAGGCTGCCGATCTCCTTCACGTCGGAGGCCGCCTCGTCGCCGCCGCCGCTCTCCGGCTTGACGAGCGCGCCGCCCTCCGTCCTGCCGTTCTCGTCGTCGAACGTCTGGTCCTTGGACGACGCCGCCGCCGCCGCCGCCTTCTCGCCGGCGGCCGGCTTCGCGGGGTTGTCGTCCTCGTCTGCGGCGGCGGCCTCGTCGGCGGCGGCGGTCTCGGCGACGACGTTGGCGCTGTTCTGTTTGACATTGTTGGTGGCGTCGAGCGAGCTGTCCTCCTCCTTGACGGCGACGACGTCGGGCTTCTTGCTGACGTTGGCCGCCGCCGCCGGGATGGTCTCCGGCGAGGAGATCATCCAGAGGCCGACGAGGCAGAGCGCCACGAACACGACGACGGTCGCCGTCGAGCACAGCGACGACCGCTGCTTCTGATTCCGATCAAACAGCGCCATTCTTCCCTTCAGCTCATGCAATGCAGCTATCTCTTCTCTCTTTCTCTGCAAATATATATATATATATATGCTTGTTCAAAATTCAGAATTTCTTCTTCTCTGCAGATTCAAATAACAAAAAAAAAGAAGGAAAAATCAATACTACATTCAAACTAAGTCCAAAAAGAGAAATTTTATGGTGCACCAAAATTGTTAGTACACTAGAAAATATGGTAACTCCCGGTATCCTTTAAGGACTGTAAAATCACTCGATTCCAAATAAATATAAAAAGTTCTGAAGCCATACAAATTCCAGTGGCCAATCCATTTTGCAAAATGTGCATCAAATTTAAACAGAGACCAAGATGCAAACCTGAGGGAGATGGAGTGTTGTTAATCAAGGGGTGTCCTCTGGTGACAGCAAGCAGCCATCCATCTCCATTGGGTATCGATTGATCTTGTTTGTTCAGAAGAAAGTGTGGTGTGAATTGGATGAGTGTTTTTTAAGGGCGCCATAGGTGGCAAGTTTGGATGGAAGGAAGAGAGGATTAAGCGGGGGAGTGAGGAGGAGACCGCACACAGGACACTCCCCGCTTCTCTTGCAGCAGCATGCAGATGCAGCCAAATCAGAGGGAAAGAAAAGGCACAAAAAAAAAGACAGGGTAGTGTGTTGTGTTGAATTGTTGAAAGAAAGGAAAAAAGAGAGAGAACTTTCTCAATGTCTTCTTCATGCTTTCATGTCTCTTTTCAAGTCTATTTCAGAATTTGTGTAGAAAAGTAAAAAAAAAGAGAACTGAAAGTCTATATTTGTTTAAGATTAATGGGTTTTTTTTTCAAATGGAAGATTAATGCACTTTGACACTTGAGTGGAGACGTTTAAATCATACGGAGGATTGGGTTGAGATGGAATACAAGTATACAACTGATTATAATATTGACATAACGTTTATCAGCGAAAAATAATAATTTGTGGGTAAAACTTATACATGTGTTCTTAAACGACTTATTAAAGACTAATGTAACAGATAAATTACGATAAAAAAGTAAAAATCAACTATAAAGTTAAGTTTTAAAATTTAAATTTTGATTGCGGCTTATCAGCCGAAAAGCAAAAGATGGAGCAAATTCTAGAAGATTCTGAGGGAGAAGTTGTCCACATATCCCTTTTGGTAAGCGGAAATTCATTCAGAAGAATGGCATTCAAGTCAGAGGGAGAAGAGGGGTGAAGTGCAATGGCATTGAACAAATTCATTCCTTCAGGAATGCTCAATACAAGGCATCCTTGCCCTTCTGGGCACAGAATTACTGACAAATCATGTTTATTTATGTAACCCTGTGTAGTAGAATTTTCAATAAGTTACACAAGAAAATCCGACAAATATAATGTACACCTGTGTAAAACAACATGCAGGAAATGGCTTCCATTGACAGCATGGCCTGCACTCACTCAAATGCACAAGTACTGTACTGAAACTACTGAAAGTTTTCTAACGCCTCTCTTTGGGGAAGCCCAGGAGGGCAAGAATCAGTGCAAAGAAGCTGCCGTTTATCAGTCCTCTCAGGATCTTCTGCTTCTCAATCGTGTAAGGTGGGTACCTAGCAGTTGCCTCCCCTCCGAAGCCGCGGATCAGGACGGCCTTCTTGTGGGTGAAACAATCGAAGCTGAATTTGCCATGGTAGGAGCCGATCCCGCTGTCGCCGACTCCGCCAAATGGCAGGTGCGGATTGGCGAGCTGTGGTGGAAAGCAGATGAAAATCAATCAGATCAGCATGCTGTGAGCAAATGTTGTTACTTTCAGTTCAGGGTTTCAGGGAGGAGGACTACTTACATGCAGGGCAACATCATTTACAAGCATTCCTCCTGCTGGGACATTGGACACAAATTCCTCTTGCAGTTTCTTGTCCTTGGTGAAAAGATAGGCTGCAAGTGGCTTGGTCCTTGAGTTGATGAACTGGATGCTATCTTCAATCTTGTCAACCTAGGAACCAGTCCAAACAGAATCAGATACTAAGATTGTACCAGCAAAGCCAACATATGTTGACTTGGCGAGATAAAATTATGGCATGATGAAACTACACAAAGATCTTAGAAGTATAGCTCTAATTTTGCCACTAGAACCAACCTGGAAAATACCATTTTTTAATGGAATTGTACCACTTCTCACTTTAATTTGGGAAATTATGTTCATGTATATGTGTTTCAACCTTCTGTTTTATATGGTTCTAAGAGAATTTTAAGAGGTAACGCGATATTAATTATAAGAGAAACATGACAAAGGCCGAGAAAAACCACTTACTGTTACAATGGGAAGTAAGGGACCAAAAATTTCCTCTGCCATGAGTGTTGTATCAAGAGGAACATCTAACAACACAGTAGGAGCTATTTTTCTGCAATGTATGGAAACAAAGTGTTAAAGATCAATCAAACTCCTTTTGCTAGTAGCCCAACAGTAATGTCAGATTTCAAATTAAATTCTTACAGTTGCTTCTCATCTGTTTGGCCACCATATACAATCTTTTGGGCGACTTTCTTATCCTCTATCAAATTTGTCAATCTACGGAAATGGTTAGAATTCACAATACGGGACAAGTCTTCTGATTGCAAAGGATCCTCCCCATAGAACCTTTTCAAAACTCTTTTTAAAGAGTCAACCTACAAAAAGGAAAGCTTCATGGCTAAGCAAATAGGACTTTAATTAGCTCTATAACTTCTTTAGGTCTAATGTGCATGGTATTCTTTACCAGCTCTGGAGCAAATGATTTTGTTGTTATAACGTAGTCTGGAGCAATGCATGCCTGCCCGTTGTTACATCCCCACTTGCCAACAGCTAGCCTCTTCATGGTAACCTACATGGAGAAGAAAAATGTTAGGAGATCTTGAGAAACAAGAGTGTTTCTATATGTAACTATCTAAAGACTTGACAGTTCAGGAGCAGATGTTTACATGAAGATCAGTATTAGAATCAACAATTGCAGGGCATTTTCCACCAAGCTCTAGAGCCACAGGGGTAAGATGCTTTGCAGCTGCTGCCATCACTATGCGGCCCACATTTCCGCTACCTGCAGTTTCAAAGGAATATCTACACTTTAGCGTCTTAACAGCAAAACAGAATGGATGAATAATTTAGTGAAGTACCCAGCAGCTAAAGCAAAAAAAAAAAAAAATCATTAGCATACTGGAAAACTATGCAAGATAAGAAGTTAACCTGTGTAGAAGATCTTATCCCACTTTTGTTCTAAGAGTGCGGTTGTTTCTGGAACGCCTCCCTCCACCACTTTTATGCAAGAGCTATCAACGTATTCAGGTAGCAGCTTGGCGAACAATGCTGAGGTGGCTGGTGCAATTTCTGATGGCTTCAGCACAACGGCATTCCCAGCAGCAATTGCTCCTATGACTGGGTCGATGGAGAGCACTACAAAAGAAAAATGTGAGGTGATTAGAAATTCGAACCAGTGAGGACCGCCTTTGGTGGTGGTGTGGGGGTTGGGAACTTGTCTTAAATTTTCGAAGGTCTGCAAGCAGGCCAAAAATGTTATTCATTACACCAAGACAGGAGATACCTTTCTAGTGTTAATTTGCGGTACCGCACAGAACCTTCATAATGTAGAGATGCCAATAGGTAGTACCACATATTAATAGTACTTAAAAAAGCAGGTGCCTTCTCATTTTCTCAAGGACCAAAAAAGAAAGCTCAAGTTTGTGTTTGGTGCACAGAAAAAGGAGAATATTTATAAGAGGATCCCCATTTTTCAAGTAGTGCTGAAACTAATGCTCAGATATTGAAGAACTGGAGAACTGTTACAGATAGTGGGGTTTTTTTAAGGACTCATATAGTTAATTGCAATGGAAAGGAGTAATATTGAAAAAGAATAGTACCAATGAAAAGGAAAGATACCAACTATGAATGCAACCAATCCTCAAGCACATAAAAAGCATGACACAAACTTTGGACATCATGCAACAAACTAATCCATAGAAACAATATCTTCCAACCTTCACCAAAAATTGCAATTAATCCCTACTCAATAGCATTACTCTATGGAATAACGGTGTTTATGCAATTACGAGTATGAAACATGAATGCACCATTTAACTTACAGAAAGGGTAGTTCCATGCTGAGATGACTAGGACGACACCAAGAGGCTCTGACACAATTTGTGCAGTTGATGGGAATGTAGTGAGGGCGGCAGGTACCTGATCATCATTTATGAGGGTTAGCATGATTAGCATCTGATCAACAAAAGAATAAACTTTTAATGGATAGTACTGGAGACTGAACATGCAAAAGAAATAGTAGTACTACCTTCTCAGGTTTCATCCAATTCTTCAACCCCTTCAAGGCAAATGTGCAGGCTGCCTTTGCCAATGATATCTGGTCATGAAAAGGCAGTCAAGCAAGAAGTCGTTACTAGCTGCTAAATTAGAAGGTTAAAAAAAATCAATCTTGAAGTGACAGGTGAGAAGAATATCTCAACTTGTATTCCACTACTACTGCCTTTTTCTGAGAAATATGAGCATAAATTGTGAAGTAAATAGCAGCAAAAGATTATTATTTTTTTCCTCTTCTATTGATAGAGAGGCAGATTAATTACACTCAAATCAGTATATTCCTAGCTTGAGTTGTACAGTGACGTCTTAAAGAATGCATCTCAAAAACGCAAGGAAACACTCAATGAAGGAATTCCAGGATTGGACAAACAGAGCTCAGATAAACAATGGAACAGAATTGAAGAACACAGCATGTAGCGATACATACAAAGTTGCACCTTTTAATAATAAATTAAAAAAAGACACACCAATTTTCAGGCGAACCAATAACAATAGCAGAAACAGTAGTAATAATAATAATAATAATAATAATAATAATAATAATAATAATAATAATAATAATAATAATAATAATAATCCGATAAGAACGACAATAATAATAAAAATAATCTGACAAGAACGTCTACCAATCTGGGACCAAACGGAGGGAGGAATTCGTGGAAGCAACGCCGGTGTGGAGTGTTTGACCACCACTAAATTAGCGGAGCACGCAACGATTTCAACATTTGTATGCGTCAAGCGCACATGAAAAGATACGACTAGAGAGAATCGCTACTTTCCCAAAAAGCAGTGGACACCACCAGAAAAAACAGCAGCAGCAGCAGCGAGTGTTCAACAACACATCACCTCGATCTATCCAGCACCAAAAAAGAAATTTAATTCTACTCCAATCATCGCCTCAAAACACCAAAGAAATTTAATTTTACTTCAATCACCTCTCAAAACGCCAAAGAAAAATTAATTTTAACTCAAAATCACCTCGATCTACACAGCAGCAATCTGGGCTCTGAATATAATCATCAAAAACTAATTTTACTTTCAGAACTAAATTTCTTTCCAGTCAAGATGAAATATCTGATTCTACTTTCAGCCAAGACGAAATCAGAATCAAAGAATCAACCCCCAAGTTTGCAGTTCTTGCCAATCCCAACAATCTTGGCCACGAAAAACAAAGTTCAAACAGAGCAGAAAAAAGTAAAGTTCAATCCTATCCTATCCTATCCCAATCTCATCATCGAATTCTCCATGGAGAGAAAGAACAACAAAGGCGGCGCTCACCTCGTGGAGGTAGGACTCCATGCGAGGCTTGGCGAGGTCGGAGTGGAGCGCGTCGGAGATGTCCCCCTCCCTCTCCTCCACCATCCTCACGATCCCCCGCAGCTGCGCCGCCCGCCACTCCGCCGCCCTCGTCCTCCCGGACCTGAAGCTCCCCCTCAGCTCCCCCACCACCGCCGCCACCTCCTCCTCCGCCATCACCTCCTCCTCGAATCGAATCCCAAAAAGCTTAGTTGCCGCCGTCAGAAGCGAGAGAATGCAGGAGAGGAGTCAGGAGGAAGCAGCCATGGAGCTCGAGCTCCACCTCGCTATATATACACGCGAGAGAGATTGGTCCGTTTGGTTTGAAAAATCAAGAAAAGAGATCGTCGGGTGCGAAAATTCCTACGGTTTGGAGATAATTTAGACAGGAAAAAAATATCTCAAACTGATATAGTTTATTACACTGTATTAAGATAAATTAGTACGATAAGA